ACCAGACCAAAGCGTCCCCGCTACTCGCCGTAAAACACACCTTGCTTCAACTGGGGAATTGCATCCGTAAGATACTTTTCCGCCCAGTGCTTATTACGTATGAAATTTTTTAATTTCAAACCACAAAGAATGCTTACGTACATTAGATAAATCAATTGCAGTCAAAATGTGAATATTATGATAATTAGGAGTGAGTTAGCCTTGAAAATTATTTTCGGCATAACCTTGAGTTTGAAATTGGGACAAAAAAGTTCTTGGCACGTGCTCTCATCCCGTAAGCTTTCTCATTTCATTTGTTACTAGCTTTTCGTTGTGTAGGGTTTTTTAATAGCTAGTGGCAACACTGCAAAAAAGCTCCAGCATTGAGGACTACAATACTTATATGGAAAAAATTATAATAAATATAATAAAAATCTTTGGCGCACTTGAGACTTTTCTGTGTTCTGTGTATACCGGGTATTCAAATTGTCCTATACACCATGTGATTTTTTAATTTCTGCTCTAGTTGGCCATGACGCGTACGTCAACAGTGCAATTGACACGGCTGACGTAAGCGTCATGGCCAACTACAGCAGATATTTAAAAAAATCACCCGATATTTCACGTAATAGTAAAGATATCCACAGGCAAGAGACGGAAATTAACCGATTTATTATAATATTGATAACCTCTGAGGTCGAAAATATTATAGTGATAACTGCGTCAGCTCAAACGTAAAGTTTTTCAGTTTATAAATATCTCGTTAGTATGTTTTCCACGAAAACTACAATTTTTGTGTTTTTTATGTAACACGATTATGTATTTATAGTACTAAAAATGACATTTTGACAGATTATGACAAGTTTTCACAGTAATTGTAATGAATTCCATAAAAACGTTTTTTGTAACAAGTAATTACCTTATAAATAAGTAGAATCACATGTCGGAATCCCAAGCGTTGTTTATACTAGTCATCTGCTATTAAATGTCGCCAACCATAATGTTTAATTAATCCATTAAAAATTATTTCCTTTATAATGTTAAAAACATTCTATAAAACATATTTTTAATTGGACTAATAATTTTGAATTTCGGGATTCAACAACCTTTCCACCAGAAGTTCTCAACTTAAATACGTCTTTTTAATGGCAATTATGTAAGTACTGAGCTTCAGAACTATGTGTATTATTCAAAAACAGCACATTTCGCTATCAAGTGTGATCTCACAAATTACAAACAATAGTTTTTTTAGACAACGCCCTTCTGAAGTGTGCATGTTACGCTACTGACTGACAGTCCGTTGTCAGATTCTGATGACTCACCATGTTGAACTTAAAATAATCGATCTCTAACAACCCTTGTCCTTCGAAACTTGGTAATAGCAATCTGACGCTCAAGTTTATTTATGTTTATACATCGAAAGAACGTCACTTAGAAATTCGTTTGATTTCAATGAGTTTGTCTTCTCAAAAGACAGGACTAAAATTATTAATTAAACCACAATCGAACAAAATATTCTGAATATTATAATTCTTATTTCATCATTATTATACCGGGTGTCTGGAAAATTGGGATTAACGCTTCAGTCCCAAAAAAATAATAAAAAACATCTTCATGATGCAGATTATGAAAAAAACGTAATTTTATAAAAGCTTCTATAGTACCTGCTAAGATAAAACTGATCTTGGCAAATGACATACCTTCTAAGAAAAGACAGGGCGGGTGGGTGGGCCTAGTACCTGCTAAGGTAAGACTGATTTTGGCAAATGAAATATTTTACAAGAAAACAGAGGGTGGGTGGGAGGGCCTAGTACCTGCTAAAATAAGACCGATTTTGGCAAATGACTTTTTCAAAAATGAAATAAAAATTGGAAAAACGTAAAATTGAAACATCGGAAAATTGAGAAATCAAAAAAATGAAAATCGTGAAATTGACAAATGGAAATATTGAATAAACTGAAAAATCCTAAAACTGAAATTTCGAAAAGTTGAAAAATTCCAAAACTGAAACATCCAAAAACTGAGAAATTAAAAAAAAATTGAAAAATTGAGAAATGGAAAAATCAAAAGTCAGGTCAAAAAATCGAAATATTAAAAAATAGAAAAATTGAAATATCAAAAATCTGAAAAATAGAAGAATGAAAAACTGAAAAAATGAAAACAGTCGAAAGTCAAGAAATGGGAAAATCAAAATATCGATTAATTGGAAAATCGAAAAATAGAATAAGAAATATTCTAAGAAATCCCAAAACTGAAATTTCGAAAAATTGAGAAATGCAAGAAAACTCTGAACAAATCTCAAAATTAAAATATCCAAAAACTGAGAAATTAAAAAAGTGAGAATTCAAATAGTGAAAAATGAAGTCGAATATTGAAAAATCAAAAACCTAAAAATTTGAAAATTTGAAAATTTGAAGAATTGAAGAAATGAAAAATCGGAAAACTGCGAGTTTTATTAAAGTCAAATTTGAAAAATTGCAAAATCCAAATATTTAAAAATTGTAAAATTGAAGAGAAAAATTGAAAAAACGTAAAATTGAAAAATCGGAAAATTGAGAAATTGATAAATTGAAAATTGTGAAATTGAAAAATTGAGAAATTGTAAAACTGAAAATTTGAATAAGAAATAAATTGAATAATCCCAAAACTAAAATTTCGAAAAATTAAAAAATGAAAGAAAAACTGAAAAATCCGCAAACTGAAATATCCAAAAACTGAGAAATTAAAAAATTGAAAAATAGAGAAAACGAAAAAACAAAAAGTGAAGTCGAAAAATTAAAACTTAAAAAATAAAAAAAATTGAAAAATCGAAAAATTGAAGATTTGAAAAACTGGAAAATCAAAACAGTCGAAAGTCAAGAAATGGAAAAATCTAAATATCGATTAATTGAAAATTTTAAAAATTGAGAACTTAGAAAAGTCACAAATTCAAAAATTGAAAAATGCAAGAAAAACTGAAGATGTATACTCTGAAAAATCTCAAAATTTAAATATCCAAAAACACCGAAATTAAAAAAGGGAGAAATCAAAAAGTGAAAAAATGATGTCGAAAAATCAAAACCTTAATAAATTCAAAAATTGAAAAATTAAAAACCTAAAAAAAAATTGAAGAGAAAAATTGAAAAATATAAAACTGAAAAAAAATTGAAAATTTGAGGAATTGAAATGAAAAATCGGAAAACTGATAGTTTATAAAAGTCAAATTTGAAAAATAAAAAAAATACAAATTGAAACATCGGAAAATTGAGAAATCGAAAAATTGTAAAATGTAAAAATTGAATAATAAGTAATCTGAAAAATCCCAAAACTGAAACATCCAAAAACTGAGACATTAAACAAATTGAAAAATTGAGAAATGGAAAAATCAAAAACCTGAAAAATCGAAAAATTAAATAATTGAAAAACTGAAAAATCCAAACAGTCCAAATTCAAGAAATGGGAAAATCAAAATATCGATCAATTGAAAAATCGAAATATTTAAAAATCGTAAAATTGAAGAGGAGAAAAACTGCAAAAAATTTAAATTAAAAAATAAACAAAAATTCATGCAAAGTAGATGCTAATGTTACCAAAATATAAAAATAACTGCACTTTTTCGAAAAAATTAGGTAATTCCTTATGCAAATTTCAACCCATTTTCGACGATTTTCCAAATTTAACTAAACATATTTTCTTGGACCGCAGAAGTCACTTCTGGTTTCATTTTTTCGATAACCCAAACTGTTTTTCAAGAATCGTCTATTGAAATATCACAATTTTTAAAACTTCGAAAAATTCGAATTTCACACCGAATTTTCTGAAAGTATTGCTATATTTTTGGAATCAGCATGTTGAGATCTACGTTCCTGAATTTTTTCACAATTTTTAGACAAAATTTTTAAAAGTGAAATTTTTAAAAGTGGAATTTTCAAATTTTCTTCAAATTTCGGCCAATTTTTGACATTTTCGAAACTTAACTAAACGCATTTTCTTGTAAATTTCGAGCTCTAGAACTCACTTCGGGCCTCGTTTCTTGTGGACCATTGTCAATAATCATAAAACTAAAAAAATGCTATAGTTTACAGAAAAGTAACACGAAATAAGACATACATAGTTTCTCTCTCCCATAAATAAAATATAAAAAACCTACTAATTTCTGACATTACGAAATTGTGTAATCATTATATAGAAATATCTACCCTTCTTGTCAATATGGATTTTCCATCAATTCCAGACTTTTCTAATAATGTTTTTCAATCTAGTGAATCTAAAAATGTTTACCCTACATCTCTTTTGCACTTAGTATAGCGTCTGATTGTCTCCCACGACATTCTAATACAATTTTCATGCTACTGCTACGAAGTCACTATTGTCTTCTCTTAGTAACTGAAGTCATTATGTTACATACAACAAATGGAAAACTATCAAACAAATTGAATATTGAATATGGTGTATCACAAAGGTCTATCTTGGGACCTGTTCCCTTTTTACTTTATATAAACGATATCTACGGTTGTGATGAATTTTTTAGTGATTTTGTTTAAAGAGCTATGAATTTACTTAAGGAGATAATTTCGTTTTTATTTAAGAAAAATGTAACAATGATTGTCTTTAATTTGATGTGTGTAAATACCTTGTATTTTAACACAAATATACTGTCTTAAAAAATTACACTTTTTTAGCATTGCCATCTATATATTGGAAAATTATTGACCATTATTTCAAAGTAAAAAGTAAATAAAGAAATTTAAAAAATGTTTATATGTACATAATGCGGTTTAACAATGTGAATGATTATTGCCACTGGCAAGATTACGTAATCACATTAAATTACAACTTACATAATTATGTATAATCTTCAAGCCAATATTAATAGTGTGTATGTGAAATAATAAAATCTGACTTTAGGTGGGAATTGTTCGTCTAAATACTACGTATTTAACGAATGAAGATGTGTCATGATGATCGTAACTTTTTAATATTATAACACTAAAACACTACATCATTTCGAAAAAAAAACTACAAGATCAAGGAAAACATACCACATCCTGCATCCAGCTCTCCATTACCCAGTTGTTGGCAATTAAACACATTAAAAACTATTGTAAAAAAAAATACATACAACTTTAAACTGCAACAGGGCATTAATAATCGTCACTTATAAACATATTTATAGTCTTGATTATTGTCGCAATTATCACAGCCAAGTAGAGAATGTTCATAGAACTTGCCGTACATGAACGAACTGATATATTTTTTTATTTTAATATCCTGAATGACGGATGGGACTCATATTGTCGAACACGTTTTATAAACATCAAATCGAACACTGAACAGCCGGCCGCAATCAATCCACGACGACGAATGACCACGTGCTCTCGGCATTCACGAACTAAGCGACTACTTCGGATAAATTCGGACGCAAAAAGTGTACAGCAGTTTTGCAATTGAAAAGAAAAAGAGTCAATGTAGAATTTTTAAAATATGCACAACGATAATGGGTCACCCCTCTTCGAACCTACCCCAAATAACGTGTTGCGTTCCAAAATATTATTGATTGAAGACGATCTTTGCAACTTTGTTATTGCACATAAACAAAATTCGCCCGATTTTTTCGCCGACCTTGATAAATAAACTTTGTCAGTTTGGTCAAGCCAAATTCTATTACGAGTTTTACTTGGAGTTTTATTATCTTATCAGACGAGATAGCGGGATGTAATTACATAAATTTTTCCAAATAATTTACGATAAATTTAATTAGTACTTTCGAGCATTTACTTCATTGTTATGACGTTCTCTGCCGCTTCTTTAAAAAAATATAAAATTAGATTTTGCTGTTTGACAATATAAAATATGTTTCAAGCAGAAAAATGACCTCTCAGCTATAACAAGCTTGAACTTTTACGTGTTTATGGATATATATCGAAATAATGTCACGTAGAAATTTATTTAGCTGTTTTTTCTATTGTCATTGTCTTCAGAAAAAAAAAACACACAAGACAAGATCAAATTTGGCAATTTTTAGTCTACATGACTTCACGTTGCTACAAACCGTAATATTAATTACACACGGAGGTGTACGGAAGTACGGAAAAAAGTTGTTTAGTCACACACAAATGATGCATTCGTGTTCGTGACAACTCCAACTTCATTTTAGACGCACCAGTTTTATCAAGAAACAGTCCCTGAACTTTTCACGTTATATCAATTTTGTTCAGGGTCATAAGGAATGCTAGATTACAATCTAATAATAAATACACGCGAAACATTTATAAAAATTCGGATGACGAAAAGCGGAATAATATTTGTCTATTATTTAATATAGATATTTGTTAGTTATACTTATTTACTTTGCGACTGTAATTACAAGTTACATCACATGGGCCACTAGGACCGAGTGAAATCCATAAAATATGCGGAAGGTAGTATTAAAAATATTTAAATATAACTATTAAGACTAGCACACTACAGAAATATATAGCTAGAAGGCATTGTAGGGCATACACATTTCCACTCAACAAATTTTTGAAGTACGCTATATAAAAAATTATTTGTATATTTACATGTCAAAAATAGAACACCTGTGTAAATGAAAATATTTTTAGAATTTAGAACTACTTATTGAAAACTGTTATGCCCCAGGCGCGTTAAAAGGAAGATGTAATAATATTCCATCACAGGTAAGAAGACATTGGAAAATTAGTGCAAAAAACATAATTATTCTGGTGCAACTTATACCCTTGTATAGTTTTGGAAATTTCATTTTACCGTATAAAATTTTATTGACGATAACGAGACGGACAGACACATTTGAATAATTTGACTTTGAAAAAATATTAAATAAAAAAAATCGTTAAACATAGGCAACCATGTGCACCTTAGCGGTTTTTGGATAGTTGGTAGCTCGCTAGGGAATTCTAGTTAGAGAGTTGGTAGGGACAACACGCGCAGCTAATTCTTGCGGCTTTCTAATCGGAAAAAAGTGAATTTATGACCGACGCTAGCACGTGTAAATTTAATTCATTGTTTGTAAATTCACAGTTCATGTTAGGAGTTTAATCGTTAACTAGTTCTAATACAATTTAACAATCAGGAACTTGTTAAGAGAAATACTTACTAGGAGATTTCATGAAATTCATTTAGTCAGGATAACACCCTTTGTTTACATGATAACATACATAATTCTTCACACAAGATTGCTAATAGTTCATTTACAGAGGCTAGTTGAAGTCGATGCCTCTTTAATCTGCACGTGTTGAAATTTTTAAAAATTGCGATATTTCAATGCACTGAATTAATTAACTAATTCTGGAAAAAAAGTTTAAGTCATCGAAGAATTGAGGCCGGAAATGACTTCTGCAGCCCGAAATCTACAAGAAAAAGTATTTAGTTAAATTTCGAAAATCGTCAAAAATGGGTCGAAATTTGCATGAGGGAGTTTATGGTCACGAATTTTTGATTTTTTTTTTTAATTTCGATTTTTCAACGGTCGATTCCGGAAAAACGGTTGCAGTTATCAAACAAACGAGGCCCGAAGTGAGTTCTAGAGCTCGAAATCTACAAGAAAATGTGTTTAGTTAAATTTCGAAAATGTCAAAAGTTGGCCGAAATTTGAAGATGGGGAACCACTGAAAATTTCGCTTTTAAAAATTTTGCCTAAAAATTGTGAAAAAAATCAGGAACGTAGATCTCAACATGGTGATTCCAAAAATATAGCGTGTTGATGGTAACGGAGCAATATTTTCAGAAAATTCGGTGTGAAATTCGAATTTTTCGAAATTGAAAAAATTGCGATATTTCAATGGACGATTCTTGAAAAACAGTTTAAGTTATCGAAAAAATGAAGCCAAAATGGATAGAAATTTGCCTAAGGAGTTACCTAATTTTTTCGAAAAAGTGCAGTTATTTTTATATTTTGGCAACATTAGCATCTACTTTGCATGAATTTTTGCTTATTTTTTAATTTAAATTTTTTGCAGTTTTTCTCCTCTTCAATTTTACGATTTTTAAATATTTCGATTTTTCGATTTTTCAATTGATCGATATTTTGATTTTCCCATTTCTTGAAATTGACTGTTTGTATTTTTCAGTTTTTCAATTCTTTAATTTTTACGATTTTTCGGGTTTTAGGTTTTTCAGTTTTTCTATTTTTTAAGATTTCGATTTTTCGATTTCACTTTTTTGATTTTTCCATTTCTCAATTTTTCAATTTGTTTAATCTCTCAGTTTTTGGATGTTTCAGTTTTAGGATTTTTCAGATAACTTGTTATTCAATTTTTAGATTTTACAATTTTTCGGTTTCTCAATTTTCCGATGTTTCAATTGTACGTTTTTCCAATTTTTCAAATTTGACTTTTATAAACTCTGTTTTCCGATTTTTCATTTCTTCAATTCTTCAATTTTTCAATTTTTTTTCAGTTTTATATTTTTAAATTTTTCTCCTCTTCAATTTTTTTGGATTTTTAATTTTTCAATTTTTGAAGTCTTTAAGGTTTTGATTTTCCGACTTCATTTTTTCACTTTTTGATTCTCACTTTTTTAATTTCTGAGTTTTGGGATATTAAAATTTTGAGATTTTTCCGAGTATCCATCATCAGTTTTTCTTGGATTTTTCAATTTTTGAATTTGTGCCTATTCTAAATTCTCATGTTTTAAATTTTTCAATTAATCGATGTTTAGATTTTTCCATTTCTTGACTTTCGACTGTTTTGATTTTCCAGTTTTTCAAATCTTCAATTTTTCGATTTCTCAATTTTCCGATGTTTCAATTGTACGTTTTTCCAATTTTTCAAATTTGACTTTTATAAACTCTGTTTTCCGATTTTTCATTTCTTCAATTCTTCAATTTTTCAATTTTTTTTCAGTTTAATATTTTTAAATTTTTCTCTTCAATTTTTTTGGATTTTTAATTTTTCAATTTTTGAAGTTTCTAAGGTTTTGATTTTTCGTTCATTTTTTCACTTTTTGATTTCTCACTTTTTTAATTTCTGAGTTTTTGGATATTTAAATTTTGAGATTTTTCAGAGTATCCATCTTCAGTTTTTCTTGCATTTTTCAATTTTTGAATTTGTGACTTTTCTAAATTCTCATTTTTTACATTTTTCAATTAATCGATGTTTAGATTTTTCCATTTCTCGACTTTCGACTGTTTTGATTTTCCATTTTCTCAAATCTTCAATTTTTCGATTTTTCAATTTTTAATATTTTTTAAGTTTTCAATTTTTCGACTTCACTTTTTGTATTTTCGTTTTCTCTATTTTTCAATTTTTTAATTTCTCAGTTTTTGGATATTTCAGTTTGCGGATTTTTCAGTTTTTCTTTCATTTTTCAATTTTTCGAAATTTTAGTTTTGGGATTTTTCAATTTATTTCTTCTTCAAATTTTCAGTTTTACAATTTCTCAATTTTTCAATTTCACAATTTTCAATTTATCGATTTCTCAATTTTCCGATTTTTCAATTTTACGTTTTTCCAATTTTCCTCCTCTTCAATTTTACAATTTTTAAATATTTGGTTTTTGCAATTTTTCAAATTTGACTTTTATAAGCTCGCAGTTTTCCGATTTTTCATTTCTGCAATTCTTCAAATTTTCAATTTTTTGGGTTTTTGATTTTTCAATTTTCGACTTCATTTTTCACTTTTTTAATTTCTCAGTTTTTGGATATTTAAATTTTGAGATTTTTTTGCATTTCTCAATTTTTCTAAACTTCAGTTTTGGGATTTCTCAGAATATTTCTTATTCAATTTTTCGATTTTCCAATTAATCGATATTTTGATTTTCCCATTTCTTGACTTTCGACTGTTTTCATTTTTCCAGTTTTTCAATTCTTCAGTTTTTCGATTTTTCAGATTTTTGATATTTCAATTTTTCTATTTTTTAATATTTCGATCTTTTGACTTCACTTTTTTGATTTTTCCATTTCTCAATTTTTTCAGTTTTTTTTTTTAATTTCTCAGTTTCTAGATGTTTCAGTTTTGGAATTTTTCAATTTTTCTTTCATTTTTCAATTTTTCGAAATTTCAGTTTTAGGATTTTTCAGTTTATTCAATATTTCCATTTTTCAATTTCACGATTTTCATTTTTTCGATTTCTCAATTTTCCGATGTTTCAATTTTACGTTTTCCCAATTTTTATTTCATTTTTGAAACAGTCATCTAAAAATTCTGAAAAAATTCAAAAACATGTTTTTCATTTCTTGTAAAAAAATAAGTATTTTGCAGTTAAGCTACGCCTTCTTGGTTCACGGCGAATAAAAAAAATCATCACAATTGGGATCGGGCGGGTGGGCGGGCTTACATTTTGCCTTTTTATTTAAATATGTGTAGACTTCTTTTCACAACTTAAAACATGTTTAAAATGGAAGATTTGTGTAAGGAAATATCGATTTTAATTAGGCTCCGCCCCACAATTGCAAAATCCATATTTCCTTGCAAAAATGTACTATACTTTAATTTCTCGTAGTGAAAAGATGGCTGTGTATATTAAGAAAAAAAAGGCAAAATATAAGCCCCGCCCACCCGCCCGCTCTCAATTGTGATGATTTTTTTTTATTCGTCGTGAGCCAAGAGGGCGAAGCTTATATGCAAAATCCTTATTTCTTTACACGAAATTAAAAACATGTTTTTGAGTATCGTGTTGCTCAAAGAATACTATGTATATTAAGAAAAAATAAAACTAAAGGTTAGGCCCCACCCATACCCGCCCCGATCTCAATTCTCAATTGTGATAAATTTTTCATTCGTTGTCAGATCGATGGGCGGGGCTTAATTGCAAAATCCATATTTCCTTAAAAAAGTTCACCGTTTTAAACGTATTTTAAGCTTCTAATAATAAAAAAATCATCACATTTAAGATGAGTAGGTGGGCGGGGTTTTATATTTTACCTTTTTTTCTATATACTAAGTATTCTTGGTACAACACGATACTCAAAAACATGTTTTTTTCATTCCAGTGACTACTCTTAATATTGTTTGATCTGATCGTAGCAAATACTCGCCCCGCCCACCCACCCTCTTTTTTCTTAGAGTAAGTCATCTGCCAACAATAGTCTTATCTGAGCAAGTACTACTTTTCACAACTATAAATTTAGAAAATGGTTAAAATGGTATATTTTTGTAAAGAAATAAATATTTTGCAGTTAAGCCCCGTCCCCTTGGTTCACGGTGAATAAAAAAAAAACATTACATTTTACCTTTTTGTTTTAATATCTATAGACTTTTTTTCACAACATGAAACTTAAAACATGTTTAAAATATAAAATTTTTATAAGGAAATGTCAATTTTGTACTCAGGCTCCGCCCCATAATTGGAAAATCCACATTTACTTGCAAAAATGTACCATTTTAACCATGTTCTAAGTTTCTTGTTGTGGAAAGTAGTACTTGCTCAGAATTTTTGGGCTCTTTATCTAAATATATATATTTTTCTTTCAATAACACGATACTTCAAACATGTTTCACATCATACAACAAATATCAAAAATTATGTCTTCATCAAAATTTTCAAAATGCAAATTGTTAAAGTAACGCATTACTTTTTAAAAGTAATGAGTCATTGTAATGAATTACTATTGTTACTGAATAATGAGTAACAAACATCTTTGATAAGATCGTCTGAGCATTTTCAACATTTACTGTGACGTTTAACCACAATAAATTTCTTTCTTTTTATTGTAATAAAATAGTTAGTTTTATTTTTGAGATATCAAGAATTTATGCAACCAGTTATACAGATGCGTCTGGTATTTGTCGTCAATCCTTGGGCATTTAGTAACATTCGTAGAAAGTGATAGGCGGCACACATCCATGGCCTACTTCAACCCTATAATCATTTATTTAAACCCTGTATTATTAACCTTAACTACGAAATATAATAACATAAACACTCTACTGTATTTACAGAAAAACTTCTTTTTAGTTTAGTTTTAGTTCTAACGAATCAATAAATTCATTAAAATAGTTGAACTGTCATCTCATGACAACAAACGAAGTTTACATAGTGTATTGTCGAAATTAAATTATTAAGTGGCTTTATTTCCATACAATTGTTCGGAATTTTTTTAACAATAATGGGAATATTCCAGGCAGCTATGGCTTATAATTACACTAATTCACTAATCCGTCAATGCTCGACCACCGTAGAAATTACTGATTGAATTAAATAAAAAAGAGTGCACGTTGGATGCACAATTTATATAGTGTAAATCGTTCTTATCCTGAATGCCAAAATATGTGATAAATCCCCAAATTGAAATTCGCTAGTGGTGTCGGTGCTGAAAAAATCTGCGTAGATAAGTTATGTCCAGCATAAAAATGCAGTAATCGATCACTATTAAAGTCATGGCCTATGACAATATAAGTTGTGTGTTGTCTACCTTGAAATATTAAAAAGGTTTAGCAAGTTCAATGTCAAGGCTAAACTGCAAACAGGTATTACGTATTGAATATGAAAAACAGAAAAGTCAGGTACTATTTAAAAGTGGACATTATGCAACTGTTTATACAGGTGATTTGTCTACTTGTGCAAAAATTTAAAATTAAACAAACGCTCGCACACGCCGATGTTCAACAAAATTAGAACACTCCGAAATGCAAATATTTGTTAAAAATCCATCATAAATTTGTCAATCGTGTCAACTTCTTGTTTTTTTCGGTCGAAAAATTAATGACATTTTACATAAACGCATTAACAACAATTCGGTTGTATATAAGAATGTTAAGGTTACAAGACAAGTATTCTTTACGTCAAAACAAATTACATGAGTCTTCGTCACATTGTCGAAAATAGGCACACCGTAATAATTATGGTCGAATTCGATGCTAAATTTCATACCACTTACCCTGAACGGACCTCAGATTTGCACTTAAAGGCCACAGTTTTACTGATTATCCAAAAAGATGACATATAATCAAAAACTAACCTTTCACAAACACTTACAAATGCAAATCATATTTTTCTTACTGTAACATTGGGCAGGCTGCCATTTTGTAAATTCCATTAATCCAGATTTTGTACGTGTGGCGCCATCTATCCGAGTAGGCGAGAACGAACGAATTCAAATTAAATATCCGCCGCCTAATTTAAAACAATTAAATTGTGTTGAAACAAAATAACAATTTCCGTCTTGTTATGTTTTCGGTGTGTGACGTTTGTATGATTTTAGGGTAAAATGGAACAATTTTTTGAGCAGTTGGAGGCGGCAAAAGCTTGTTGGTGGCCCTATATTTTATCGCTAATTCTTTGTCTTGTAGGAATCATTAGGTTTGCTTATTGACATTAAAAATTTGTTTCTGGTGATAAAAGTGAACAATTTTCAGGAGGTATATTGGAGGTAATTACTGTCCAAGTGAAAATAGAATCGATGGCAAAATCGTTATTATCACTGGAGGATCCAGCGGAATTGGACTCGCTACTGCTAAACATCTTGCAAAAAGAGGTAAAGTCTATCTGCAAAAAATAAATAAATTTTTATTTGATGCGGCAAAATTGTTGTATAGTCAGCAAATATGATAAATGAACTTGTAGTTGAACATGGAGATAAATCATTAATGTGTAGAGGAATAAAACTGATCCTAAAACTTAACTCTGCGGTACACCGGATGTAATTGTCTTCTTTTTTTTTCTGTTTTAGGTGCTACCATAATATTAGCCGTTAGAAACGCAGAACAAGGAAAATGTGCACTAGAAACCCTACTGACAGAATGTCCAGAAACAAATGCCATTATAAAATTGATAGATCTAACAGATTTTGTTAGTATCCGTGAATTCGCCAACCAAATAAATCTTGAATACGAAAAAATTGATATTCTAATTAACAATGCAGGAATTATTTTCCACCCTTACAAGAAAACTGTTGATGGTAATGAGATAACAATTAGCACCAACTACTTCGGTGAGTGTTTTTTTAACTAAAATAATTTATGAATTTTTGGGCTCATGATGTATGGTTGCTACAACCAGGAACATGGGTACCAACTCAAACCAAACATTGGTCGATTATGTTGCACATAGACCGGTCGCGCTACATAATTTGTAATCTAGAATCTAGTCATCCTTGAACAGGATTTAGCGTGTCCGTGATTAAACCACACTGACAAGATTAAGAGTAGGTATGTTTCAAGTAAGTTTTTCATAATAAAATAAAAGGACACGTTGGTATATTAGTTGAGAATATGTCCAATATAATACTAATAATAAAAGTACTATATACTGAAATTTTCGGGGAAAATGGGGTTTAGAACACCCGCCCGGCAAGTGGGAGACGTGGGTTCGAATCCTAGTCAGGCCATGACATTTTTTCTCACTTCACAAATGCATTGATAAACCACAAGTAATATTTTAATACTATTTTGCATAGTTTCGATGGTTTTGAAATGGCGTTCTCCATTTTTTGGGACGCAACAGACAAATAAATTTTGATTAACAATTTACCATAGTCTTAAAACGTTTACAAGATTTCAGAACATTCGGTTTTTCAGTTTCACAGTTAAATTGTAAAATATTGTTATACATTGTTTTTATCAGCATCCAACAATTTTTTTTTTGTTCAATTAAGAAATATTTTTTAATGATGTTCGTTACTAGTAAAATTCCTCAAATTACCAATACTGTTAGAATCGTCATCATGCATCCTATACCATAGTAAAATAACTTGACTATTTAAAGAGTAACGTAGTCCTCAACTTGTGGTTTATGAAACTGCGTTGATTTTTTATCCAAATACAAGAATTTTTCGATTTTTTGGTTTTTCGATTTCTCGATTCTTCAACTTTCGATTTCTCGATTTGCAATTTTCGATTACCTAATTTTAGAAAATCAGTGTTGAAATTTTCCGATTTTTCAATTTTTGGACTCTGCAAATTTTCGATTTCTCGATTTTTTATTTTTCGAGTTCTGAATTTACCGATGTTTCTCCTCTTCAGTTTTGCAATTTTTAAGTACATCGATTTTTCAATTTTCCCATTTCTTGACTTCTCGACTTTCGACTGTTACGATTTTTCACTTCTTCAATTCTTCAATTTTTCAAATTTTTAATTTTTCAATGTTTCGATTTTTCGATCTTTTAATTTCTCAATTTTTGGATATTTCAGTTTTGGGATTTTTCAGTTTTTCCATTCTTCAGTTTTTCTTCCAATCTTCAATTTTTCGATATTTCAGTTTTGGGATTCTTCAATATTTCGATTTTTCGACTTTTCGACTTCTAAATTTTTCAATATTTTACTTTTTATATTTTTCAATTTTTCGTATTTTTAAATTGAAGATTTTTCAACTTTTTGACGTTTCAATTCCTGTTTTTCGATTTTTCGCTTTCCGGTTTTAAATTTTCTTTTTTTCAATTTTTCGATTTTTGGTTTTTCGAGATTTGGATGTTCGATGTTTTGATTGTTCAATTTCTCGATTTATCAGTTTTGCAATTTTTATGTTTTTGATTTTTAGATGTTGGCCTATTCCGATTTCTCAGTTTTTCGACTTCTCGATTTCTCGATCTTTCGATGTTTCGATTTCTCGGTTTCTTAGTTTCCGGCTTTTCGATTTTTCAATGTTTAAATTATAGATTTTTGGATTTTGGCCTATTTTGGCTTCCCAATTTTTCGTTTTTTTTTAATTCTTGACTTTTCGACTTCTCGACATCTTTTAATTTTTCACTTTCTTGAAATTTCAATTTTTCAACTTTTCGAATTTTTAAATTTTAGATTTTTAATCTTTTTGATGTTTCGATTTCTTGATTTTTCGATTTTCGACTTCCCAGTTTTAATTTTTTTTTTAATTTTTTCAACTTTCTAGTTTATCCCTTTTTGAATTTTTTAATTTCTGGATGTATCGGGATTTGGATGTTTCGATGTTTTGATTGTTCAAAATTTTGAATAATCAATGTTTCAATTTTTAACTTTTCGATTTTAACCTATTTCGAGTTTTCAATTTTCCGAATTTTCGATTTCTTGACTCGATGTTTCAGTTTTTGAATCTTTCGATGTTTCTATTTCTAGGTTTTTCGATTTTTTAATTCTCGGCTTTTCGATTTTTCAGTTTTTCAATGTTTAACTTTTCGATTTTTGGATTTTGACCTCTTTTGGCTTCTCAATTTTTCGATTTTTTTTTAATTCTTCACTTTTCGATTTCTCGATATCTCGATCTTTTGATTTTTTAGTTTCTTGATTTCAGTTTTTCAACTTTTCGAATTTTTAAATTTTAGGTTTTAACATTTTTGAAATTCGATTTCTCGATTTTTCGATTTTCGACTTCCCGGTTTTAGATTTCTTTTTTTAATTTTTTCAATTTTTTAGTTTATCGCTTTTTAATTTCTCGATGTAACGAGATTTGGATGTTTCCACGTTTTGATTGTTGAAAATCTTGATTAATCACTTTTTCAATTTTTAACTTTTCGATTTTGACCTATTTCGGTTTTTCAATTTTTCGGCTTTTCAACTTCTCAATTTCTCGATCTTCTGATTTTTCAATTTCTCGATGTTTCAGTTTTTGAATCGTTCGATGTTTCGATCTTTCGATTTTAACCTCTTTTGGCTTATCTTTTGATTTTTCGATCTCTTGATATTTCAATTTTTCAAATTTTCGAATTTTTAAATTTTACATTTTTCAACTTTTTGATGTTTCAATTTCTCACTCTTTCGAGTTTTCAACCTGCCGGTTTTGGAATTTCAGCTATATTGAATTTTTCGTTTTTTCAAATTTTAGGTTTTTCGGTATTTTGATTTCTCGATTTATTGAGATTTGGATGTTTTGAATTTATAATTATTCAGTTTTGGCATATTTCGATTTTTCGACTTATCAATTTCTCGGTCTCTGGATTTTTCGATTTCTCGATATTTCAATTTTTCTAATTTTTAAATTTTAGATTTGTCAGCTTTTTGATATTTTGATTTCTCAACCTTTCGATTTTTCAATTTCCCGGTTTTAGATTTTTTGTTTTATAATGTTTCGATTTTTCTTTATTTTTAGTGTTTCAATTTTTTAGTTTTTCAATTTTTCGAATTCTCGATTTATGGCGATTTGAATATTTCGATGTTTTCTCGCTTTTTCCATTTTAGCCTATTTTGGTTTCCCAATTTTTCGATTTTTAGACTTTTCAATTTCTCGATCTTTTGATTTCTCGATTTCTCAGTTTTTCAATTTTTTACTTTTCGGCTTTTCGATTTTTCGATCTTCCAATTTTTCAATGTTTTGATTTTTCAATTTTCGATTTTTTTTTAATTTTGGCGTTCCGACTTCTCGAGTTTTCGTTTTTTAATTTTTGAATTTTTGATTTTTTCTATTTCTCAATTTTTCGTATTATTATTTCTTCGATATTTCTATTTTTCGAATTTTCGAATTTTTAAATTTTCCATTTTTCACTTTTTTGATGTTTCGATTTTCCAACCTTTCGATCTTTCGACTTTCCGGTTTTAAATTTTCTGTTTTTCAATTTTTCCATTTTTCAAATTTTCGGTTTTCCAATTTTTTGATTTTTCGATTTATCGAGATTTGAATGTTTCAAGGTCTTGATTAATCAATTTTTCAATTTTTAACATTTCGGCTTTTCGATTTTTCAATTTTTCAACGTTTAACTTTTTGAGTTTTGGATTTTCTCTTTTGACTTCAAAATTTTTCGTTTTTTTCAATTCTCAACTTTTCGACTTTTCGATTTCTCGATCTTTTGATTTTTCAATTTCTTGATTTTTCAATTTTTCAAATTCGAATTTTTAAATTTTTCATTTTTCAACTTTTTGATGTTTCAATTTCTCAGTCTCTCGAGTTTTCAACCTGCCTGTTTTGGATTTTCTGGTATTCAATTTTTCGTTTTTTCAAATTTTAGGTTTTTCGCTATTTTGATTTCTCGATTTATTGAGATTTGGATGTTTTGATCTTATAATTATTCAGTTTTGGCGTATTTCGATTTTTCGACCGCTTGATTTCTCGGTCTCTCGATTTTTCGATTTCTTGATATTTTAATTTTTCGAATTTTTAAATTTTAGATTTTTCAGCTTTTTAATATTTTGATTCCTCGATCTTTCGATTTTTCAACTTCCCGATTTTAGATTTTTTTGTTTTATAATGGTTCGATTTTTTAATTTTCGGCTTTTCGATTTTTCAATTTTTTAATGTTTAACTTTTCGAGTTTTGGATTTTCTCTTTTGACTTCCCAGTTTTTCAATTTTTTAAATTCTTAACTCTTCAACTTTTCGATTTCTGGGGCTTTTAATTTTTCACTTTCTTGATATTTCAATTTTTCAATTTTTCGACTTCTCGATTTCTCGATCTTCTGATTTTTCAATGATGTTTCAGTTTTTGAATCTTTCGATGTTTCGATTTCTAGGTTTTTCGAGTTTTCATTTTTTCGCTTTTCGATTTTTCAGTTTTTCAATGTTTAACTTTTCGATTTTTGGATTTTGGCCTCTTTTGGCTTATCAATTTTTCGATTTTTCGACTTCTTGACTTTTCGACTTCTCGATTTCTCGATCTTTTGATTTTTCACTTTCTTGATTTCAGTTTTTCAACTTTTCGAATTTTTAAATTTTAGGTTTTTAACCTTTTTTGATGTTTCGATTTCTCCATTTTCGACTTTTCAATTTTTTAGTTTATCGCTTTTTGAACTTTTTAATTTCTCGATGTATCGAGATTTGGATGTTTCCATGTTTTGATTGATCAAAATCTTGATTAATCAATTTTTCAATTTTGATCCATTTTGGTTTTTCAATTTTTCGACTTTTCGACTTCTCAATTTCTCGATCTTCTGATTTTTCGATTTCTCGATGTTTCAGTTTTTGAATCTTTCGATGTTCGATTTTTCAATTTTTCAGTTTAACTTTTGGATTTTGGTCTCTTTTGGGTTCGCAATTTTTAGATTTTTCGACTTCTTGACTTTTCGACATCTCGATTTCCCGATCTTTTGATTTTTCGATTCCTTGATATTTCAATTTTTCAAATTTTCGAATTTTTAAATTTTACATTTTTCAGCTTTTTGTTGTTTCAGCTTCTCAGTCTTTCGAGTTTTCGACCTCCCGGTTTTGGATTTTCTGGTATTCAATGTTTCATTTTTTCAAATTTTAGGTTTTTCGCTATTTTGATTTCTCGATTTATTGAGATTTGGATGTTTTGATCTTATGATTATTCAGTTTTGGCATATTTCGATTTTTCGACCGCTCGATTTATCGGTCTCTCGATTTTTCGATTTCTCGATATTCCAATTTTTCGAATTTTTAAATTTTAGATTTTTCAGCTTTTTGATATTTTGATTTCTCGATCTTTCGATTTTTCAACTTCCCGGTTTTAGATTTTTTTGTTTTATAATGATTCGATTTTTAAAATTTTCGATTTTTCTTTATTTTTAGTGTTTCAATTTTTTAGTTTTTCGATTTTTCGAATTCTCGATTTATGGCGATTTGAATGTTTCGATGTTTTCTCGCTTTTTCCATTTTGGCCTGTTTTGGTTTCCTAATTTTTCGATTTTTAGACTTCTCAGTTTCTCGATCTTTTGATTTCTCGATTTCTCAGTTTTTCAATTTTTTATTTTTCGGCTTTTCGCTTTTTCGATCTTCCAATTTTTTGCAGTTTCGATTTTTTGATTATCAAATTTTTCAATTTTCCAATTTTTTTTAATTTGGCGTTTCGATTTCTCGATTTTTCGTTTTTAAATTTTAGAATTTTTTATTTTATCGATTTTTTGTTATTTCGATTTTTCAATTTTTCGAATTATCATTTCTTCGATATTTCTATTTTTCGAATCTTCGAATTTTTAAATTTTACATTTTTCACCTTTTTGATGTTTCCATTTTCCCAACCTTTCGATCTCTCGATTTTTCGGTTTTAAATTTTCTGTTTTTCAATTTCTCCATTTTTCAAATTTTCGGTTTTCCAATTTTTTTATTTTTCGATTTATCGACATTTGGATGTTTCGATGTTTTGATTGTTGAGTTTATTTTATTTATTTTATTTTATTTAGTTTCTCGATTTATCAATTTTTTAATTTTCAACTTTTCGACTTTTCGATTTTGGCCTATCTTGATTTTTCAATTTTTCGATTTTTTAATTTGCGGCTTTTCGACTTTTCAATTTTTCAGTGTTTAAGTTTTGGGTTTTGGTCTCTTTTGGGTTTGCAGTTTTTAGATTTTTCGACTTCTTCAGTTTTCGATTTCTTGATTTCCTTCAAAACTTTTCAAATTTTTAAATTTTACATTTTTCAAATTTTTGATGTTTCAGTTTCTCAGTCTTTCGAGTTTTCGACCTCCCGGTTTTGGATTTTCTAGTATTCAATTTTTCATTTTTTCAAATTATAGGTTTTTCGGTATTTTGATTTCTCGATTTATCGAAATTTGGATGTTTTGATCTTATAATTATTCAGTTTTGGCATATTTCGATTTTTCGACTTCTCGGTCTCTCGATTTTTCGATTTCTCGATATTTCAATTTTACGAATTTTTAAATTTTAGATTTTTCAGCTTTTTGATTTCTCGGTCTTTTGATTTGTCGATTTCCCGATTTTAGATTTTTTTGTTTTATAATGTTTCGATTTTTCAAATTTTAGATTTTTTTTTATTTTTAGTGTTTCAATTTTTCAATTTTTTGATTTCTCGATTTATGGCGATTTGAATATTTCGATGTTTTCTCGCTTTTTCCATATTAGCCTATTTTGGTTTCCCAATTTTTCGATTTTTTGACTTCTCAATTTCTCGATGTCTCAGTTTTTCAATTTTTTTTAATTTTGGCGTTTCGATTTCTAGTATTCAATTTTTCATTTTTTCAAATTATAGGTTTTTCGGTGTTTTGATTTCTCGATTTATCGAAATTTGGATGTTTTGATCTTATAATTATTCAGTTTTGGCATATTTCGATTTTTCGACTTCTCGGTCTCTCGAGATTTCGATTTCTCGATATTTCAATTTTTCGAATTTTTAAATTTTACATTTTTCAACTTTCTGATGTTTCAATTGGTCACTCTTTCGAGTTTTCGATTTCCCGGTTTTGGATTTTCTTTTCATTTTTTCAAATTTTAGATTTTTGATATTTTGATTTCGATTTATCGAGATTTGAACTTATGATTGTTCAGTTTCTCGATTTATCAATTTTTAACTTTTGGTTTTTGGGCTATTTTGGTTTCTTAGTTTTTAGATTTTTTGACTTCTCGATTTCTCAGTCTTTCGATTTCTGGATATTTCAATTTTTCCCGGTTTTGGATTTTTTTTAATGTTTCGATTTCTCAAATTTTCGATTTTTTTTTATTTTTAATCTTTCAATTTATCAATTTTTTGATTTCTCGATTTGAATGTTTCGATGTTTTCTCGCTTTTTCCATTTTGGCTGATTTTGGTTTTCCAATTTTTCGATCTTTTGATTTCTCGATTTCTCAGTTTTTCGATTTTTTACTTTTCGGCTTTTCAATCTTTCGACATTTCGATTTTTCAATTTTAAATATTTTTCGACTTTCCTATTTTTAGATTTGTTTTTCAGAATTTCGATTATTTTAATTTTTCATTTTTTTTTCTCAGTAAGTATTAATATCGAAAATAACCACAAAAATTGACACTAAAAACTTTTAAAAATTAGTAATAAGTAGGACACAATCTTTCCAAAAGATAAAAATAACTCCATTTTCCCGAAAAAAATTCATTGCATTATTACTATTTAAGGCGCGTACTTTCAAAGATTTCCTTTGGTTTTTGCTATTTTAATTAAAAAAAACAACAACAAATAATTCATATTATGAAAATATCAGTCAGTCAACTAATCAAAGTTTAATTCGAAGCGAAAAATATGTCATACCAATTCCAAGTCATGTTCGAAAATGTACAAAAAAAGAAACTGGATCTATTAAAAAAAAATTAATATGAAATAAGATAAAAAAAATCAAAAATACTCCCACATGTCTTTCTGTCTTCTGTTCATTTCGAAAATATGACTCAAATATAACATTTCTACTATCATAATGCCTTTTTGGAGTGGAATTCCAAGGACGACTGAATTGCAAATTATGTTGCTATATTTATTAATCTTAGCTAATCCTTGGGCGACCTCATTTTCTCAAAGGAAAAAACTAGCAAGTGTTTATATGGTTAGTGTTCTTTGGGAACTTTTGCCAAATTTATTTTTGGAATTTTAAAAATCGATATTAATTTGCGAAAATTTGTACAAAAACGGATGCAAAATAATCGACCATTTTAACTTTGAAGTATGTGATATGAAAAAAACACCAATTTTATATTTGTAACCAATCACCCAACATTTAATCTACTTGTATATTTTGTATCTTAACCACCGTAGGTCCTTTCCTTTTAACGCATCTTCTTCTAAATCTACTTAATAACTCTGACAACGGTCGAGTCATTAATGTGTCTGCAGTTGCACACTTACGAGGAAAAATTAATCTGGACGATTTAAACTCAGAAAAAAACTTTGTAGAAATCGAAGCTTTTAGTCAAAGCAAACTGGCTTTAACTATGTTCACAAAACACATGGCTTCACTTTTAAAATGTAAGTACAAATTACAATTCAGTACAGTTAGTTAAATCAGTGTTTTCAGACACACACTTAACATTTAACGCTGTAAATCCTGGTCTTGTACGTGGCACCAAACATTTGCGAAACTCCAAACTGACTACGTCTTTTCCAACAAAATTGTCTGTTTGGCCATGGATGTGGCTTTTTATGAAAACACCCAACCAAGGATGTCAAACCATTGTGTATACAGCGGTTGATCCTTCATTGCACAACGTTTCTGGGTGTTACTTTAGGTAATTATAAAATTCATAAATTAAATGATAACTGTTTTTTTTTTTTTTTGGTTTGTAGCAACTGTGAAATGCAAAAACCTTCAGACTTGGTGAATGATGTCCAACTATCTGAAGAATTATACAGAAAAACTTGCCAGATAGTAAATATTGATGGAGAAACTATTATAAACAACATACGTGAAGTGGAACACCAGAGGAAAACTAACTAGCAACATATTTAAAAAATTTATAAATTATTTTTTTCTACAAGTACTTTTTATCTTATGATGTATTCAGTCGTGTCCATTTTTCACTTACAGCCCACAACCATGAAGCTGTTGTTTCATCATTTGCAGCTTCACTAACTTCTGCCTCTTCACAGTCGCTAAAAAACAACTGCATGAGTTTTCAGTGACACAATTATGGTTGGGTGCAAAATGAAAGAGGCCATCACGTGACCTGCGCAGTGTCAATTTATTCGGTCGAGTTGCGCCACTGTGCATTTAGTGTTATCATTGTTTAAGTATATTATAGTTGGACAACCTAATACAAATTTTACTTCGCCTAAATAGTGAGCTTTAGGACAAGGAATCCAGGGGGCGTGGGACAAATTTTTCGTCAACGCGCATTTTCACTACAGTGAGCGAACGTTTTAGGTTTATTTTACTCTAAATCAGATGGCGCCATCAAACATTAGCAAAGGCAAACACCCTTCACTCTGCTCTTATACGAGGAGTTATCCATAAATCCGTAATTAACATTGTTCCGTAAGGAGTAATGTGTATAGACATATATATATACAAAATATGAAAATATACTTGACATAAAAAATATGAAGCAACGCGTTGTAACGTGATAAGAAAGAATTGAATTTAAATGAATTTGACGCCTATTTTTATTTGACTATATCTGAAGACTGACAGAAACTTTCCAAGGGTTTTTAAACTGGTATAATTGTTTAGTTTTACAAGATTAAAGTAAAACAAGATTTTAAGTAAAATTTAGATTCGTGGTGTTACAAAAATATTAACACAAAATGAAAATATATGTTCAAAGTAAATAACAGAATGACATAAACTTTCGGCGTTAACATTACAAATAATTACAAGAGAGAAAAAAAAGCATAAAGAACTTAAGAGGCAAGTTTGTAATATCGAGTTGTTAAAGGCTGCTTTGAAGACTGTTTGTTTCTATGAAAAACAATTGCTGTTATCGGACATTTTGGTAGATTTTGTTCCAAAAATACGAGATAACGAATTGTTTCTTGAACTAGTTTCCGTAACTTCTAAAATTTAAAAAGGATACCCCGTTCTGCTGTAATAAAATCTAGAATAAGGTCAAAATCACACTAATATTACATCTGATTTTGTTAACCACATGAATATAATTTACATTAAAATAAGTTACAGACATTATTTGAAATGTTTATTATAGTTCGAAAACAAGATAAAATAAATAAATAAATTAATAAAATGTGCAGTTTATAAACTTCAGAATTTTTGTATAAAAATAATCATGTTTGAAGCTTTATTTTGTCTGTTCGATTTTATTGGGTGTATTGGGCCCCTCTCGGGATATAACACCGACATCATTGCACTGACCCAACGTTCTTCAACCCATGGGATGATTTATTACTTCCGTTATGCTGGCCCTACACACAGCGATTTGCTTTTCGGATTTTCGGCTAGATCTGCACAGTTAACTCTTTGCGCACTGCACACTGACATAGAGTATTTTGTTCACGCGAGCATCAAAAATATTACGCCGAAAGCACTTCTTCAAGTGTTATTTTTTTTAGATGTCATATTTGTCAGCGTTTCCAAAATTTTCTTCTTTGCACAGGTCAACTAATTTTTCGTAAACCGCATTTTAAAATTTTTGTTATTGTATTTTTTACTTTTTAATTTTCTAAGGCATGAAAAAATCCCATATAGGTTTCTATGAATTTATTAACGAAATCATTTGTGTTAATTAACACCAATAGTGATCATGATAATTTTATAATTATCATTTTAATGAAATTGTGTTCTTCACTTCGAGAACGACAGCAAACAATTTAAAATTACCGCTAGTCAAGCACCTGAAAATCCATCTCTCCCAAATATGTCTTTCTTGGCACGATTTGTAATCCGAAGTCTCCCTCCACATGCAATTTTTCGTCGCCTGAGAACTTGTTTGATCTACAGACCAAAGCACACTCAGGCCAATATCGGCTTTAAGCGATTTATCTATAAACCGATATCCGTTAGAGTTGATCTGATACACATCCACTACGAAGAACTAACCCATTTCGACCATTGGACTTTACAACGAATAAGTGAACAAACTTCTTGAACACCTTAACGGTTTAATACATAATGTTCCCGAATGACAAAATTTACATTTCAAATTGTATTATCAAATTACACACTCCAAAATTTGTCACGAACAATGAAATGACGCAATCTCCAAATTTTACAATAGTAAAATTGTAGTTTCGCCCCGTTTACGGTTTATGCATCCGTGTCGAGTGTTCACCTTGGACGTCAAGATTTTTGGAAAAAAAATCAACATTTTCCAATTTATAATGTTATTTAAATTTTAAAAAGTAGAATAGTCCTGATCTTGTGATTTATACCTAAATACGCTATTGGGATTGTTCGGCTTGTCGATTTCTCGATTTTTCAACTTTATGTGTCTCAATTTTTCAATATTTCAATTTTGGGCTTTTCCGATTCCTCCATTCTTTAAATTTTCTATTTCTCGATTTTTTTATTTTTCGATTTCTCAATCTTTCGATGTTTCAATGATACGATTTTTCAATTTTTGTCCTCTTCAATTTTACGGTTTTTAAATATTTCGATTTTTCAATTTTTCAAATTTTCACGTTTCTAAATTTTCAGTTTGCCGATTTCTAAAGTATTTTTTTTTATTTGTCCATTTCTGGATTTCCTAAAGTTTCGATTTTTCACATCTTCAATTCTTCAATTTTTCGATTTTTTAAGATTACGATTTTTCAATTTTGCTTTTTTAGATTTTCAATTTCTCAATTTTCCAATTTTTTAATTTCTCAATTTTTTGAATATTTCTTTCAGTTATGATATTTTTAAATATTTCAATTTTTCGACTTTGAGATTTTTGAATTGATGGATTTTTTTTGATTTCTCGCTTTTTTCCTTTTTCGATTTTCAATTTATTGTAAACTTTAGATTTTTCAATTCTGCGATTGTTTAATGCTTCGATTTCTCAATTTGTAAACTTTTCGATGTTTTAATATTTAATTTTTTAAAATTCTAGGTTTTTCGATATCTCGAGTTTTCAGTTCTTCCATATTTCAATTTTTCAATTTTTCGATTATTCAATTTTTTAATTTCTCAATTTATCGAATTCAGATGTTCCGTTGTTTTGATTGTTCAGTTTCTCAATTTTTAAATTTTTAACTTTCCTTTTCGGCTTCCGACTCCTCAATTTCTCGATCCTCCAATTTTTCGATTTCTCGAAGTCTCAGTTTTTGAATTTTTCGATGTTTCGATTTTTGGATTTCTCGGTTTTTCGATTTTTTTTCTTTTGAGCTTTTCAATTTCTGGATTTTCCAATTTTTCAATGCCCCGATTTTTCAATTTTTCAAATTGAATTGGATTTCTCGATTATTCAATTTTGCGATATTTTAATTATTCATTGTTTTAAATTTTAGTTTTTTCGATTTCTCGATTTTTTGACTTTTCAGTTCTTCAGTATTTAAATTTTTCAATTTTTCAAATTTTTGCGTTAAATTTTCAGTTTTCTGATTTCTCAATTAATCTATTTTTGATTTTCCCACTTCTCAAAGTTTCGATTTTTCAGTTCTTCAATTCTTCGATTTTTCGACTTCGCTTTATTGGTTTGTCGATTTCTCAATTTTTGGATATTTCTTTCAGTTTTGATATTTTTCAATACTTCGATTCTTTCATTTTTCGACTTCTAGATTTTTCTATTTTTTATTTTTGGATTTTCGGTTTTTTGTTTTTTATTTCAATTTCTCAATTTTTCAACTTTTCCATATTTTAATTTTTAAATTTCTAGATTTTTCGGTTTCTCGAGTTTCCAGTTCTATACTTGAATTTTTTAAATTTCCGAATTTTTAAATTCTTTGAGATCTCAATTTATTAGGATTCGGATGTTTCGATGTTTTGATTATTCAATCTCTCGCTTTATCAATTTTTCCATATTTAAGTTTTCGATTTTTCGATTTTGGCCTATTTCGGTTTCTCAATTTTTTGGATTTTTCGACTTCTCGATTTTTCGACTCCTCGATTTTTTTGTCTTTTGATTTTTCGATTTCTCGATGTCTCAATTTTTGAATTTTACAATGTTTCGATTTTTCGATTTGTTGGTTTTTCGATTTTTTGCTTTTCGGTTTCTCGATTTTTCGATGTTAAGATTTTTGATTTATCCGATTTTTCAATTGTCCAATTTTTTAAATTCTCGACTTCTCGATTCGTCGATTTTTCAGTTTTTCGATTATTAAATTTTAGATTTTTTTTTTATTTTTTGATATTTGGATTTCTCCAATTTTCAGTTTTAGGATATTTTAACTTTTCAATGTTTTATATTTTAGATTTTTCGATTTTTCTGTTCTTCAATATTTTTTATTTTTCAAATTTTGACGTTTCTGAATTTTTAGTTTTCGGATTTCTCAATTAATCTATTTTTTTATATTCCCATTTCTCCACTTCTTCAAATTTCGATTTTCCAGTTCTTCAGTTCTTCAATTTTTCGATTATTCAGGTTTTTGATTTTTCAATTTTTCGATTTTTTAAGTTTGCGATTTTTAGACTCTGCTTTTTTGACTTTTCTGTTTCTCAATTTTTTAATTTCCTAATTTTTTGATATTTCGTTCAATTTTGTGATTTTTCAGTTTTTCGATTTCTCAATTTTAACTTTTCAATTTTTAAATTATTAACTTTTTTCGATTTTTTGAGTTTTCAGTTCCTCTATATTTCAATTTTTCAATTTTCGGAATTTTTAAATTTTCGATTGTCCAATTTTTTTTTATTTTTCGATTTTCCAATTTTTCGATGTTTCGATTTTTGAATTAACCGATTGTTCAATTTCTCGATTTTAAAATTTTTGATTTTCCAATTTTTATTTTTTTGATTTTTTTATGTTTCGATTTCTCGATTTTACAATTTTCCCATATTTGAATTTTTCAGTGTTTTAAATTTTCGATTTCGAGGATTTACTGTGTTACAGTAGTCATTACTCATAAAGAACGATTATTGTTGTGCGTTAAAATGCCTACATACTGATAAGCACGTACATACAAGACACATTTAAGGCTGTTTTAGTATAATTTTTGCAATTTTAAATTTATTTCTTGATGTCTAAATCGTATATATTTAAATGGTGATGAATATTTTGTGATACAATCTTAGGATAAAATGCATTTTAGTTTCAAAAATAATATGTATTTAATGATTTGACTACTGTTAATAAAAAAAATACGTAAGAAGATGTTCATATTGAATTAATTTGGTGTTCATAGTTTGATGATAACCCATAGTTATTCTGGAGGCAAATTAGATGACTTGTTACTTATTAATTAAAGTAGTGGTCGTTTAATTTCGTATACCTTTAAAGTGGACGAAGGGACGCATATTTGTTAGCCATGTAGTTCATGGATAATAGGTATACCGCGATAATATTAAATTTTTGTTACCTTAACCTTGAAACAGGTATGCACTACATATACCTACATATATTACAGCAAAGTCTTCAACCCGTACGTTTGCTTATTTTGTGACTGCTCCCCGTACAACGTACTGATTAATACGTTCGTTTACTACCTTATCGACATCACGTGCTTACGGACTATTTTTACCCCCTTTCGTAAGGTACCGCCACTTCATAGTGAAGCGAGTGAGATGTAAAATATATATTCATTCTTTTCTACATGGGAAAGTGATTGTCCGTATAGGTTGTCCAACTATAATACACTTAAACAATGGTGTTATCTTACCTGAAGTATTTTCCTGTTGCACCCTTTAATTTATTACTCAAGGCTACATAAATTACAGTATAGGCACCTTGATCAGGGTTTTTAATAAATGGCCAAATTAGAGGTTTAATAAAAATTTTTGCCAGCCAACTATTGAAGAAGCTCATGTGGCGAATTATTTCTGTATTCACTATACCAGGGTGCACAGCATTCACTGTTATTCCACTGCCTGATATTAACATGCATAAGTACATTAACAAATTTGTATGTATTAACAAAATTTACCCACTAATTTCTTGCTTAGTTCTTTTGTGAAAAGAATATTAGCTAATTTACTTTGAGCATATGCATCTGCTGGGTCATAACTTTTATCACTATTCAAATCTTCTTTATTTATTTTCCCTCTTTTATGAGCCACACTTGAAACATTGACAATTCGACTTGGTGCAGATTGCTGTAGAAGTACAAATTAATACAATAAATAAATTAATGTTTAAAACAATGTAGCTTACCTTCATTACATCCAATAACAAATTAGTTAACAAAAAATGTCCCATGTGATTAACACCTAGTTGTAATTCAATTCCATCTTTAGTTGTGGACTTGGGAGTTCTCATCACTCCTCCATTATTAATAAGAATATCCAAACGTTGTTGCTCTGACTTAAATTGCTCAACAAAATTTCGAATAGATTGAAATGAAGCTAAATCACACTCCCTACAGTACACATACTTATTATTGCTCTCTAAAACTATTTCACTTCTAGCCTGCAATTGAAAAAATTATGTTTGCATAGCAACTTTGCCAGTTTTAAATACTTCTTCACAACGTTTTAAATCACGACATGCCATATACACTTTCGCTTTTCGTTTGGCCAGATCTCGTGCCGTTTCTTTACCAATACCTGTATTAGCTCCTGTTACAATTGCTACTTTTCCCTCGGCCAAGACATTGGGTTGTAATTTTTGTCCTCCGGTCCATTCCCTGTAATTTTAAGCAAGTGACAAGAACGTTTTGTTTTTATTGTATACCGTGTACTTGATTAACAACGTGATGCCCATAGTGGCTGCAGCACCGCTTGCGTAAAACATCGTTTTCGACATTTTAAAATTAAGGATTTTAATTGGCTTCGAAACCTGCTTTTTGAACATTTTTAAAGTATTTGTTTTGTAGATTTCACTAAAAGGTATACAATATTTTTGTCTTCTACCGACACCTCGAAATCCTCGACATCTATTCGACCACCCCACGGAGCAAACTATAACCCTACTTTTTGTATGTTGTTAGACTTGGTTAGAAAATGAAAAACGTCAGTTCTCTATTAATTTAGTAAGAAATAGGTTCATTGGATATGATCACTGGTATCACTAGTTGGCTTATACAACCCGATATACACATTACTAAACTACAAGAAGTTAATTCTAAATAATGCAGTAAAAACGAAATATTTATTAATACTTAGCATTTAGCCACCATTCAGATAACCCAAACGACTGATGCAACTGAAATATGAGGACGAAATAATCGATAAAGTAATAATATCAATTTTTTTTGGTTATTTATAAAGCAATGGCACACTTCACGTAGAAAATGTAACAAAGAAAGTCAGCTTCTTACTAAAACTATTCACAAATTATAGTTATTATGGACAATGAAAGAAAAACGAACGTAAGGTAAGGAAGTATTATAAACGAATTCATTGGACGACTAGCTATTTTCATATTTTCTCGAATTTTCATGGCTCCCACTTCCATTTGTCTGTCTGTCTGTCTGTTTGCCGTCAGTTCGGATTTCTGTTAGACAGATAATTTCTGAAACACATAGTTCGAAAAGCTTCAAATACATCAGCTATAAGAAGCACGTCAGTTTCCAAATGTAAATCGGAATACTGTCCTAATGTATGAATATTAAAAGTATTCCACACTTTGATAGCATGAGAATAATCTTCATCTTTAATACTTTCAGCATGTAAGCGACTATGCACTATAGAAATCGCGCAGTTTTGTTTCAAGGTGTTTCTCCTAGGAATTTATATAATGGTAAGAAAGTCCCACGGTCCTGACTACGATAAGCAGAACACGCTCCGAAATCCAAACTCGAAAATCGAGAGATATCGAGCGTCAAAAGCGAAAGAGAAGTAGTAGAAAACAAAGAAGTGAAGTGGAATAAGAGTAAGAAGCACCAAGAAGTGTAAGGACAGCAATTATTCGGGAAAGTGTGGAATCAAAAGAACCTAACCTCCGAAGAGATAGTCTGGGTGACATTATCGCGGCACGAAGTAAACAACACAGGAACGTACTAGATACACAGGAAGCAAGAAAGTCGGCCAGGGAATGCTAAACGGGAATCCTGAACCGGAAAAAGGGCACAAACTAGCAATAGAAGAACAAGACAACCAGAAACGAAAAAGAGAAACCTCCTTTTCACCATCATCGGAAGGTCAAAGAGTACAGAGAAAGCAGAAGAGGGTACAAGCAGGAGACATGGACGAAGTAAAGAATATATTCAAAACGTTAATGGAGGAAATCGCAGAAATGAAAAGAGACCAAAGAGCACACCAAACAGAAGTAACAACACTAAGAGAAGAAAACCAAAAACTGACCGAAAAATTAGAAAGAGTGGAACAACACTTAGAAAAACTGGAAAAAGCAGAAAGGAGAAACAACATCGTAATCAAAGGAGGGAAACTACAAGGAAGCGAAATAACAGCAGAGGTTGAAGAACTCCTAAAAAATAAGGTAGGAATCCAAACTAAGATACAAGACGCAAGATTAGTCAGCGAAAAATACGACATAGTAGTAGCAAAGATAGAGAACTGGGACACAAAAAGAGCAATCATGAAACAGAAGAACAAATTAAAAGGATCAAAAACGTTTATTGAAGACGATTACACCAAACAAGAGAGCGAGATACAGAAGAAAATAAGAGGAATAGCAGCAGCAGAAAAAGGGAAAGGAGTCGAGGCAAAAGTAGGGTACAAAAAGATGATATGGGCAGGAGAAGTCTGGCATTGGGACACTAAATTAGACAAATTAGTGAAAGCACCGTCGCACCCCAAAGAAAATCCAAAAAACTAACAGAGGAAGAAACCACACACCGGAAAACAATGACGACGTATGCAAAGCTCATGGATGACCCGATAGGAATTACGAAGAGAAAGAAAAACCCGAAAATTAGAATAGGAACATGGAATGTTCGAGGAACATATAGCGAAGGAAAACTCAAACAAATAGTTCAAGAATTACAAAGGTATAATATAGATGTAGCAGCGATACAAGAGACGAAACCAAAAGGCAAATTCATCACTGAAATAGACAACTACATATTACTTAATAGCGGAATTGACAACAGAGAACTAGGAACAGGATTCATGGTGAAGAAGAGCCTGAAAGGAGCAGTAATTACCTTCAAACCAATCTCAGAAAGAATGAGCTATATAAGATTGAGAAGTAAGTACAGGAAAATAAGCCTACTGAATATACATGCACCGACTGAAGACAAAGATCTAGAAGTAAAAACAGAATATTACGAAGAACTAGAAGGAGAATATGTGAAAATACCAAAGCATGACATTCAAATGGTTATAGGAGACGCCAACGCAATGATAGATAAATAGAATTGCTACAGGCCAACAATCGGGAAAGAAAGCAAACACCAAAAAACGAATCAAAATGAAGAAAAATTGATAGAGTTTGCAGAAGAAAACAAAATGGTAGTCAAAAGCACCTTCTTTGCGCAGAAAGAGATCTACAAAGGCACATGGATGTCGCCTGACGGAAAAACGGTCAACCAAATAGACCTGGTAGAAAGGAGAGATGCCCAACTAATAACCAGATCAAGAAGCTACAGGGGAGCAGAAGCGAATTCAGACCACTTTCTAGTAAGAGCAGACCTCAAACAAGAAATACCGAAGGAAAAAGAAGGAAAGAAGACGCAACGTGATATAAATGTAAACAAACTTAAGAAAGCTGAAGTACAACAGTAATACGAACAAAAGATGAATGAGAGAATAAGATCAACAGAGCAAGATATACCTATAGAAGAGAGGTGGGAAGAACTACAAGAGAACATAAGGAAGACCTCGGAAGAAGTACTAGGGTTCGTGAAAAAAGACAACAAAAATAGAAACGAATGGTTTGACGAGGAATGTAGAAAAGCAATAGAAGCGGGGAGGTCAGCCAGACAGAAATATCTAAAATCAAAAAATGAGAAGAACCAAAAAGATTACCAAGAAAAAAGGAAAAAGTACAAGAAGATATGCAGAAATAAGAAACGAGCAAAGATGGAAGAACAAATACGACAAATAGAAGAAAACTTCAACAAGAATGAAATAAGGAACTTCTACCAGGACGTGAAAAAAGAGAAAAGAGACTATCAACCACGAGTAATATATTGTAAAGACAAGGCCGGCAGCCTGATAGGAGACGAACAAGCAAGAATAAAACGATGGGCAAAATACTTTGATGAAAAACAACAAAAGTCCTCGTAGAAACGGAATAAAGGGCGTGATGCTAAAGTACGGAGGAGAAACAGTAGCATCAGAGATACATCGACTAGTGCTAGAATGTTGGAAGGAAGGAAAATGCCAGAACAATGGAGTGAAGCAGTACTTTGCCCGATATTTAAAAAAGGAGATATTACGAAATGCGAAAATTATCGCGGAATAGCGCTGCTAGACGTAACGTATAAGGTAATGGCCACTTGCATCAACCGAAGACTAAAGCAGCATATGGAAAAAATAGTAGGAGAATATCAAGCAGGGTTTAGGAAAAATAGATCTACTGTAGACCAGATATTTATATTGAAGCAACTACAAGAAGTACATTACGAACAGACAATCAACTTATATCTGCTGTTCATAGACTTTAAAAAAGCCTACGACACGGTTAACAGGAAAGAACTGCTAGAAGCCATGCAAGAACTGGGAGTCCCAAGAAAACTAATAAAACTGATAAAGATGACCCTGCAGAGCACCAGAAACAGAGTCAGGATAAATGGTCTGTTGTCAGAACCATTCCAAGTAAGAACAGGACTCCGGCAAGGAGATCCAATATCAACTACCCTGTTCAATCTAGTACTTGAAGCAATAATAAGGAGAAGTGGCATCCACAGAACGAGCACGATATACGAAAAAAGACACCAAAATATAGCCTTTGCAGATGACGTGACATGTATAACGAGAACAGAAGCAGAAATGAAGAAAATGACAAAAAATCTAATCAGAGAAGCGAAACGAATGGGTTTAGCGATCAACCAAGAGAAAACGAAGTTTCTGAAGATGGAAACAAAAGAAACCCCAGCAAAACCACTGAAAGTAACTACAGAAGAAGGAACAACATACGAATTCGAAGAAGTAAATAGGTTAAAATATCTAGGAGTAGTAATTACAAACAAAAACGAAATGAACGAAGAGATAGAAGAACGGATCGCGAAAGCAAACAAGAGTGTAGGAAGATTAAACAGATTTCTGAGGAGTAAGAATGTAACACGACGAACAAAGAAACAAGTATATAAGACAATAGTAAGACCTACAGTCCTGTACGCTAGTGAAACATGGACGCTAACGAACGAAAAGGAACAGAAGTTGGAAGTATGGGAACGCAAGATACTACGAAAGATATATGGAGGTATAAAAGAACTAGACCAATGGAGAAGAAGAACCAACAATCACGAAGATAATCAGAGCACAGAGACTAAGATGGCTAGGCCACGTCGGAAGAGCACCAGAGGAAAGGACAATTGGGAAAGTATTAGACCGCCTAAAAGGAGGAAAGAAAAAGAGAGGAAGGCCAAAACTGAAGTGGATAGACGATGTTCGAAAAGATCTTCAAAACTTAGGCATTGAAGATTGGAGATCCAAAGCAGCCGACAGGAACAAATGGAAAATTATTGTTAAGAAAGCCCAGGGCCTTTAAGGTTTGCAGAGCTGAATTATATATAAGAAAGAAGTCCTTTTCTGTGTAATGTGGTAACCCAAACTTAAATTGACACTTGAAAAAAGTTGAAAGGCCCGAGAAAAATTAAAATTTGGCCTTGGCTGTGATCGTCTAACAAAAGGAACCTACGTTGTGTTTTTTTTTTTTTGAAAAATGACGGGAAGACGTTCTTTCACACAAATGAGCATACACTGCGTATGAGTAGAGAGCACAAGAAATAACCAGGTCGTTACGGTCGAAAACTAGGCTATAAATAAGCTATAAATAAGCTGACAATGTCTCATCGTCCAGACCGTTCCCACTGAATCTATTCAAAACTTGCATCCCTTGTGCAGATGGCGCGACAAATCCCGCTATCCCCCACTAGAAGCCGCGCCCTCCGCTTGTGCTACGTGTTTCGGTGTTATTTAACCTCAATTCCATTTTAAATGTGCAATCTCTATGTGTCTAATATGAACAACAACTGAGCAACTGTCAAAGTTTCAAAGGGCAATAAACAACATTTACATTCGCCATACAATCCTGTGAAAGTTTAAACAACAAATAATTCTTAGGTGAGATTTAAATTGAATCAGCAAATTTATATGACGGAAACATTCATCAACAAAAAATCTGGTGTGAAATAAACTTATGCAAATAAAAATATTATGTGAGGTTAAAACGGCAGAGCATGAAATTTACGTTCAATTAAAATTATACAACAAAGAAAATTACTGAAGTTAAAATTGCGAGATTAGAGAAATATTGTATGAAATGAAAAATTGCAACGTTAACAAAATTTACATGAGATTAATAATTGCCACACTTTATCAACGATTCAAACAAAGAGTTTACATTATGTTAAATTATGGCATGATCCAAGTGATTGGTTACTTAAAAACAATTTACTTTGGGAGTTTAAAATACCGTGAACTGTTTACCCCAAACAAAACACATAAGAAATAAACACAAAAATATCCAGTCATCGTTGCGAGCAAAAAGCGTCTCGGTGATGAAAATTTTAGCGTTGCGAGGAAATGCCTCGATAATGTGAATTTTAGCGTTGCCAGAAAATGTCTCGAAGGTGTAAATTTTAGCGTTGCGAGGGCATGTCTCAGTGATGTAATGAAGATACGATGATAATAACGATGATAATTGCCTAAGGAAAGAAATTATTTTAACCCCCGGGTACGAATTAGTTAATTTAACTGCCGCAAATGAACTACTAGCAATCTTGTGTGAAGAATTAAGAAATGCTAACTAATTTAACCTAGCTATTTACAGCGTCCTTTCACCATGCACCCGCACGTCACCGAACCAAACAACAATGATTACCTTCCCCTTGCTTCCAACATGCCGCTCTATTCAATCCAGCCGACTACCGCCCTCTAACTAAACATGCAGAACTACCCCAAGCGCTAACGTGCCCATGGTTGCCTATGTTTAACGATTTTTTTGACTGAATTTTTTTTCTTTCAAATTAAAATTATTCAAATGTGATTTCGCACCGCTGTTAATTAATTTCAGCGCGAAAATTTGATTCAAATTCGGACACCACAGTAACAAACAAAATTCTTTCATATTATTACAATTTTCCAAAGTAATAATTTTTTGAGAATTATTTACATTGGAGGAAAACTTGTCTAAACTGTAGGGCATAAATCTGAGAGAATAATTTGTGTCATCAACAAATTTAACAAACGAAATATAATTTATCTTTATTTATTAATGGGAAGCAACTTGACCGTTTATTGAATTTGAAAGTTCTTTAATAAAAAAAATGAACATTATATGCGTTCATATTATGAAAGACCACAGTATAACACAAATATTTTTACAGTGTAAACTACAACTTTAATTGGAGCGCCTCTGTACCTATATTCCAGCTAAATGATTATGATCGCGTACTTTGACGTTGTTTTCAGAAAATTTATTTTTACATATATGACATATTTGCGAAGAGTCAAACTGATCACGTTTTTGTGTAGCTAATTTTTCTATAGATATAACGTTTTGAAATGTTTCATCACAAAAATGGGCCAGTTGATTTAACTCCTGAATAAACCATTGAATGCAATATTTATCTCGACACAAACGAAATCTAGAAAGAGAATTATCGTATGAACAGTGAAAATATAACAATACAAATTCTGTAATTTTCTTTAAGACTCGAATTCTTTAGAATTTTTTTTATTCTCTCTTTCGTATTTCTCGGATTCTTTCGAACATTTTCAGATTCCTTTGAACTTTTCAAATTCTTTCAAAGACACCCATCAGAAATCCTCAAGATTCTTTAAAATTTTTTAGTTCTGCTCAGATTTTGTCAGATCCTTACAAATCCTTTCAGATTCCTGCACACTCTTTCAGAATTTTCCAGGTTCTTTTAGATTTTGCCAGATTCCTCGAGATTTTCACATTTTCCCGGGAGGAATCTAAGGGAATCTCGAAAAATCTAGAAGATTCTTGAAGGATCTGACGGATTTTGCAGGACTTTGAAGCAATGTGGGAAAATTTGAAAGCAAATATTATTATTATTATTAAAATCCAGAGAATCCTAGAGAGTCTGAAGGAATCTAACAGAATTTGAGAGATTCGTGTAGAAGCTGAAGGAATTTGAAGTAATTTGAAAGAATCTGAGGGAACCTGTAAGAAACTGAGAGAATTTTGAAGAATTTCGAAAAATCAAATAGAAAACTGGAGGAATTTGGAAGAATTTCGAAAAATCTGAAAGGATTTGAAACGATCTGAATAGAACTGAAAAATTTGAAAGAATCTCGAGGATTTCTGATGTGTGTCTTTGAAAGAATCTTAAAAAATTTAAAATAAACCGGAAGCATCGAAAAGCATCCGGAATAATCAGAAAAATGAAAAAAAAAACTGAAAAAGAGAATCAGAAAGAAAATGCATTTGAAAGAAACTTTTTTTAATTTTATAAAATAAGATACTCTTGTACATGTGGTGTGTGAATCCGTGTCGAATTTTCACCCTAGACATACAGAATTTTTAGAAAAAATTTAAAAAACAAAATGTGCCAAAATCAGTCTTATCTTAGCAACTACTAGCCCCGCCCGCCCGCCCGCACTTTTCTCAGAGTGTATGACGTCTGCCAAAATCAGTCTTATCTGAGCAAGTACTAGCAATATGATTTTGATAAGGTTCAGTCTTATTCGTGGTGGACCCATGGTTTTTGGAATAATCAACAAGAATACCTCGAGATCCGCATAAATAGTAAAAGGTACTGTTTTTGACATCTATAATTTTGAAAATACAGGTTATTTTCGTTTTCACTCGAAGCGGCGTTCGCTAAAGAAAGGCCTAGACACGGAAGTCGCGATGGATTCCAGAAAGACCTCGATTGGAAAACATCGAGAAGGGAATACGATTTTAAATAGAGGCCACCTTCGGGAGCGGATTTAGTCAATCGAATTTAATCGAACCACGAGTCCAGCGAAAAAACTGAAGAGTATCTTTAATGTGATGGTTACTTATAAGTCCTGCACGAATTCGTTTTCGAAAACAAGAAGATATCTTGCCTTATTACATTATTCATCGGTTTAAATTTGGCTGATTAAAAATGACCTTGAATGAACAAGAGAATAAAATTTTATAAAAAAAAAAACTATGTAGCCGCAGCAACACCAGAGCGTTATAAAAGTGTTAAAGTGTTATAAAATTACCCAAAGGCGGAGTTGTAGCACGAGCGGAGTTTGGGGCTCCTGGTCGTGGCTGTTCTCCCCCCACGACGGTGATTCTATCTATCGCGAGCACTGCCGCACAGCAATTCTCCATTACGGGCATGCCGTACGAGCAGGCTTTTACGGTCGCAAACTCGTGGTTGGGTCTCGACTATTGGGCCAATTAGACAGCTTCACGCATCTCGACCGCTCCTATTCAAAGTCCCCATCCTTCGTGTAGATGGTGCGATAAATCCCGCCAGCTCGACTAGGAACCGCACCCTCCGCTTCTGCCACGTATTTCGGTGTTATTTAGACTCAGTTCCATTTAAATGTTCACTTCTCTGATATTAACGACAACTGAATAAGTCTTAAAGTTTTAAAAAGAGCAATAAACATTTAAATTCGCCATACAATCTTGTGAAATTTTAAACAACAATTAATTCTTAGATGAAATTAAAATTGGACATCAGATAATTTATACGATGGAAACATTCATCAACAAAATATTTACAAAACAAAAAACACTGGCAAAGATTTATAGAAACAAAAGATCTCGTGTGAAATAAAACTTGTGCAGACATAAATATTACATGAGGTTAGAAACCGCAGAGCATAAAAATTTACGTTCAATTTAAATTATACAACAAAGAAAATTACTGAAATGAAAACTGTGAGATAGAGAAATATATATTATCAACGATTCAAACAAAGAGTTTAAGTTATGTTAAGTGATGCCAAGTGATTTGTTAGTTAAAACAATTACCCATTGAGTGTCAACGGGGGAGAATTAAGAAGTGTTACAATGTAACACTTGAGTATATGCATCCAGAAACTTATTTATACCTTGAGAAACAAACGACTGAGTCCTGACTAAGTGAATTTCATGAAATTTCCTAGCAGTGATTTATTTAAATAAATCTAATGTCTGTTAAATTGTGTTACAACCAGTTAACGATTAAACTCCTAACATGAACTGTGAATTTACAAACAATTAATTAAATTTACACGAAAATTAGCATTTTTCCGATTAGAAAGTCGCAAGAATTAGCTGCTCGTGTTGGGGAAAACTGTGAGGTCATCGTTACGATTAATTGTCGTTAAACAAAGGCTTCCTCCCTTTTTATTAACTTACCAAGCCAACTAATTTAATCTAGCTAACTTACAGCGTCTTTTCGCCATGCTCTCACACACAGAATCAAACAAACAATTACGCTTTCACCTCTCAACTAAGCCGCCATCTTCTACCAAACCGCCCTCTTCTAACCAACCCTCTAACTAAAATCTCAAGCAGACTACACACTACCCAGAAGCGCTAACGTGCACAAGGTTGTCTACGTTTAATGATTTTTTTGATTAAATTTTTTTCTCAAAATCAAATTATTCAAATGTGCGAAAATTTGATTCAAATTCGGTCACCACAATGCACGTATTTGAATCTCACAAATTTAATAAAAACAAATAAAAAGCTAAGGTAACTGGATGCAAATACACAAGTTATTGCGGGCGGCAAATTTAAATTATGGCAGTCAACAGGAGCACAAGATTTTAATAATAAAACTATGAAACGACAGCGGCACCAAAGTGTGGCGATCGAAAACGGACGCAAACTCGTATTGGGCCAAGTCGACAGCGTCACGTCATCCCGACCGTCCCCGACTTCTATGCAAGACTGCATTTTTAGTGCAGATAGCGCGGCCGCCAGCTCGACAAGAAACCGCGCACTCCGCTTCCGCTCCGTGTTTCGGTGTTATTTAACCTCAATCCCATTTAAATGTTCACTTTCTATGACTCTGATATTAAACGACAACTGAACAAGTGTTAAGTTTCAAAAAAGCAATAAACAACGTTTGAATTCGCCATACACTCTCGTGAAATTTTTAAACAGCAATGAATTATTATCTAAGATCAAGATTAGACACAAGATAATTTTATGATGGAAGCATTAATCAACAAAATATTTACAAAATAAAAACTAGCGAAGATTTATAAAAACAAAAAATCTGGTGCAGATAAAATATTACGTGAGGTTAGAGACTCCAGAGCTTGAAAGTTTACGTTCAATTTAAATTATACAACAAAGAAAATTACCAAAGTTAGAATTGTGAGATAGAGAAAAATTGCAAAGCTTACAAAATTACATAACTTTAGTATTTTATGTTCATTCTATTCATCGGTTAAATTTTAAAAAGTGAAGTTATACGTAATTTGGTAAACAAAAAACTCCTGCTCCCTAGGTAACCCTCTAACTAAAATTCCAAGCAAAATTACCCACTACCTAAAACGCGCTAACGTGCACATGGTTGCCTAGGTTTAACGATTTTTTTATTGAATTGCTGTTAATTTTTTTCTGTGGAAATTTTAATTCAAATTCGGTCATCACAACAGAAAAAACAAAAACTTTTATAATTATGTTTATTATCAGAAAAATAAATATTTTAATAATGTGTTACTTTTAAGGTAACTAGTACTAACAAAAGCATTAATTAGTAATATCCACCATATTACTTATTCATCTTCAGGTTCCCTTTCAGTGAGATTTGCACCTGCACTTAATTCCATCTACAACAACGATAAATCAGTTTAATCTCAACTAGAAATACATAATCGCAAACATTTGGATGTCACTACTGCTTACCTCTTTTTTCAGTTGTGCTAATTCTTCTTTTGTTGTTCTTTTGAAAAATCCAGCCTAAAAATATATTAATATAAGTTTTAATCACTTGTTATAGTTTAAACTCATACTTTAACCAAAACGACAACTAGTAGTGTAAGAAGTATTAGTCCCGCTATTGCAGAAGCAATAATGATCCAGAGCGCAATATCTTCACTTTGTGATGCTCCAACGAAGAGAGAAACGACTTCTACCCTGTCTTGCTTACTACCGCTTTGTACAAAGTCTTTAGGATTTGTGATCACAACGTGCCCGTGAGTACCAAATAAAACAACGTCTTTTTTACCTAATAAATCTAAAACAACAAACGTAAATTAGTTGAAACACATAAAATTCTCAATCACCTTTAATTGTAGCAATGTCTAAAACCATACTGAGCTTAATTGTGAGTACTTGTCCGGATTTTAAAGATCCCGCAGTGCACATTACTTTAAAGCAACTAACTTCGTTCATGCTACAGTTAACATAGTACGTCCGATTTTGCAAATTTTCTAATTCAGTTTCTTTGGTCAGTCTTTGTTTAGCGGTTGTTGATTTGTTAAAAACTTGAACTTGTCTTACAAAACGTTTTGAGTGTTCTTTGTCGGAAGCAGTGTCCTCTATTCCTTCAAAATCGATATTACTAGTACTTGTTTTTTCCTCAGTTATATACTGGAAATCGCTAGAGCAAATAACATCTTGTTCGGCCAAAATTCCAACCGGAGGGTACAAACCAGTAAAGGCGATCTCTCGACCGTCTTCGAGTTTAAACATGTAAGGGACGTTTATTTCGACAGCGATTTCATTCAAAGGACTTCGTCCAAATTTTTCAACCTGATATATTTGCGAAAAGTGGGGTTTACCTTCAGAAATGTTCCGGTACGAGTAACTTTGTTCTTCGGATTTTCTGAATTAGTAAAAAAGTTGTATCAACCAGCACGTAATGTAGAATTTAACTTACCCTGTGATGAACACGTCAGCTTCACGTCTTAATTTAACTACCAGTTTCTTGATTTTGTCTCCGCTATTTTCACTACTAGTAATTATTTCTATCAAGAAAGTAAGCGAATCGTCGTACTTTCCGCTATTTATTGTAGTCATATCTAGATCTAAAGTTACCGATTTCTGGAACGACAAGGTCTTTCATGGTTTAAGGTAATTAAACAAATTACCTGACTGTCGGTTTCAAGTGGATTATCGACAGAGCACATCACTGAAGACGAATTTTTTTCCGTGCAAGCTGAAGGAATACTTCGAAATGTAATAGAATCGGGTACTGTAGTTAGTACTTGCGTTAAATATGCTTTTTCTGCAGTATTTTTTATATCGATTTGTAATGTTAAATAACTCTTGGCACCTAGTGTAAACGTATTATCTTCCCTGTGTTAAAAACGACTTTAATAAACCAGTGACTGTATTGTTACTCTTAGCTTACTCTTCTAAACCAATGATTTTCGCTGTCACTTCTAAACGAGATCTGCAAATATTGTCAGTGCATCCCAATGCAAATGGTATTTTTACAGTAGTGGAAGATATAGATCTATACATATCGTAGACGGGACACCTAGGACAAAATGAATCATTTCCTTGCTGGTTCTGATTCACATATAAAACTTGTTTAGGTTCTTCTTGACTGATAAATGAATGTGACAACGATACCGTTACAGGATCATAACGATTAGAAAATGATTCCTAAAAAAATGTTGTTATATTTGTTTTCATTTAAATCCAACTAAAAATTACCGATAGTTTCACGGTAAAATTTTGGCAGATCGTTTGATGTGGACGTAGTTCTATTATTTGCATATAATTACGATTTTCTAAACTAGCTCTGCCTAATTGTTGATCAGTTGTTAGACTTCTGTTGATACCTATAAAACGAAATTATATTGATTTTAAGGTACTTATTTTTATTTTGAGAATACACACTAATTTTGCCAGGATGCATCTGATCAAGCTGATACCAATAACATTCCCTCATTTGAAAACTTTTTGTTTTAAATTCTAAATGTTGAGCAAAAGATATAAGTCCTTGATATATTGTAATCACAGGACGAGATCTTAATAAAACCACGTGACCAGATAAATACGCGCCTATTGCTATGTCTAAAAGAAAAAAATAATAATGAAACTGCCTACGATTATTAGTGTTGATTAGTGCCTGCATATTTGTTCAGGTCGATATCCACAGCTCTTGAAATACTCATTCCAAATCCTCTTATACTTTGGTATATAGTCTTTCCTACTATACGTTGGCAAAAAACAGAGTCTAAACCATCAGCTGTACCTTTAAATAAGTATACAACACCACTTTTATCGTCTTCATAAGGCGCTGCAACTGCTACATCTAAAAACACCCAGTACAATTTGGTTAGTAAACTATTGTTACAACAACAAGTTTAAACATAAAACTTATTTGGAAAACAAGTAAAAATAATAATCAAACAGTTTAAAAATTTGGTTTTGCCTGTGATCGTCTAACACAATGGAACCTATCTTGTGTGTGTTTTTTTTTTTGTGGAATGCGTGCAGATGCAAGGTTGGAAAAGTAGCGATCGAACTATCTGAATTTCATTTTAGAACACACAAAATTAGCCACAGGAGGCATTGTAGCACGAGCGTAGTTTGGGGTTCCTGGTCGTGGCTGTTCTCGCAAGCACTGCCGCCCAGCATCCTTTGTGCAGATGGCGCAACCGCCAGCTCGACAAGGAACCGCGCACTCCGCTCCTCCACGTGTTATTGTGTGATTTACCGCAATTCCATTTAAATGTTCAATTTATATTACTCTGATATCAACTACAATCGAACAAGTATTAAAGTTTCAAATAGAGCAATAAACAACATTCGAATTCGCCATACACTCCCGTGAAATTTTTAAACAGCAAAGAATTCTTATCTGAGATTAAGATTGGACATCAGACAACTCATATGATGGAAGCATTAATCAACAAAATGTTTACATGAAAAATAACAAGAAAAGATTTATAAAAACAAAAAATAAAACTTGTGTAGACAAAAAAAAATACGTGAGGTTAGAAACCGCAGAGCATGAAAATTTACGTTCAATTTAAATTATACAACAAAGAAAATTACTGAAGTTAAAACTGCGAGATCTCAAAACACAAAATAGAAGCCCCGCCCAGCCGCCCGATCTCAATTGTAATGAATTTTTTATTTGTTGTGAGACCGGGGGGCGGAGCTTAACCGCAAAGTCCATATTTCTGTACAAGAAATTACTGAGTGAAACTTGTTTGAAGTGTTATCATATTGTTTTGAGAAAAAATACTTTATTTTAGATGGAAATTTCTTGTAGAAAAATAAAATTTTCGCGGTTAAACTCAGCTTCCTCGTTCAAGACGAATAAAAAAATAATCACAATTAAGATAGGGCGGGTGGGTGGGGCATAATTTTCGGTTGTAAAAAAACACAAAATATAAGCCCCGCCCACCCGCCCGATCTCAATTGTAATGAATTTTTTATTTGTTGCGAGACCGGGGGGCGGATCTTTTGAGATTACATGAGGTGAAGAATTGCAAAGCTAACAATATTACATGAGATCAATATTTTATGTCCATCCGACTTATTGGTTAATTTTTTAAAAGTTAAATTATTCAGCTGCATTGTGGGCCGTTGATTTACATTCCCCCATACAAACATAAAAAATATAGCAGGCAATCTGGAGGTTCAAAATGGCGTCGGATGAATGCGTCGTTGAAAAAATGCGTCAAAAATATGTTTTCCAGAAATGCGATCAATCCTGTGGCGCTGTGCAAATAATAGTCTAAATCAAAGAAATAAAATGCACGTCCCACATGACCCACAATGTTGTTAATTTGTTCAATAAGATTTTACAGTTCAAACATGTGCTCTTTCAACGGCTGCCAGAACAAAGAATTTACTTGATGTTAAATTATGCCACACTTTATCAACGATTCAAGCAAATAATTTACATTGACCTTGGCTGTGACCGTCTAACAAAATGGGACCTACGTTGTGTGTTGTTGTTTTTTTTTTAATAGCGGGTAGCGTTCTTTCATACAAGTGAGCATACACTGCGTGTGCGTCGAGAGCGCAAGAATTAAGAGGCAGAATTTTTGGGAGGGGGCTAAAGTTATTACAGGCGTGTGGGAGCAAATTTAAAATTATGGCAGTCAACAAGAGCACAATAAAAATACCCATAAGGGCGTTCTAGCACAAGCGGAGTTTAGGCCACGTTTTCTGTGTTATTTAACCTCAATTCGATTTTAAGTGTTCAATTTCAAATTCGCCATACAATCTTATGAAATTTTAAACAACAAATAATTCTTATGTGCGATTAAAATGGGACATCAGGTAATTTATACGATGGAAACATTCATCAATAAAATGTTTACAAAACAAAACCAGCAAAGATTTATAAAAACAAAAGATCTGGTGTGAAATAAACTTGTGCAAATAAAAAAGCATGAAATTTACGTTCAATTAAAATTATACAACAAAGGAAAATTACTGAGGTTAAAATTGTGAGATAGAGAAATATTGTATGAGGTGCAAAAATTGCAAAGCTGACAAAATTTACATGATATTAATACTTATCAACGGTTCAAACAAAGAGTTTACATTATTGTGTCATTATTGTGTCATGATCCAAGTGATTGGTTACTTAAAAGAAAAACAATTTACCTTGAGAGTTTATAATACCGTGAACTGGATACCCCAACAAAACACATAATAAATAAACACAAAAATATCCAGTCATCGTTGCGAGAAAAAAGCATCTCGGTGATATAAATTTTAGCGTTGCAAGGAAATGCCTCGGTGATGTATAATCAATCTTTAGCGTTGCGATGAAATGCCTCGGTGATGTAATGATGATAACGATGATAATTGCCTAAGGCAAGAAATTATTTGAACCCACCGCCAGTTCACGGTATGAATTCGTTAATTTAACTGCCGTAAACTAACTATTAGCAATCTTGTGTGAAAAATTAAGAAGTGTTACAATGTAACACTTACGAATATGCATCCAGAAACCTCATTCGTAAATTGTAAACAAAGGTTGTTATCCTGACTAAGTGAATTTCATGAAAGCTCCTAGTCAGTGTCTGTTTAAATAAATCTAATGTCTGTTAAATTGTGTTAGAAACAGTTGACGATTAAAACCCTAACCTGATCGGTGAATTTACAAACAATAAAATAAATTTACAGCACGTGTAGCGTCGGTCTCGAAAATCATCACTTTTTCCGATTAAAAAGCCGCAGACTTTCTAGCTTTTATTAACTACCAAATCAACTAATTTAACTTAGCTAACTTACAGCGTCTTTTTCACCATGCTCACACCACTACCGCCCTCTCATAACCACCCCTCTACTAAAATCCCGTCAGCGAGCTCCCAACTACCAGAAAAAGAACTAAACGTGCACAAAGCCTATGTTTAATGATTTTTTTTTATAGATTTTTTTTTTCAAATTCAAATTATTCAAAGGTGATTTCGCGTCGCTGTTAATTAATTTCAGCGCGAAAATTTGATTCAAATTCGGTCCAAACAAACGTCCAATGATTTGTGGTAGTTTTAATTAGACAGTTCAGTCCTGAAGTTTGAAAAGTATTTCGAAAAATCATGTAAATTCATTGATCCAACGTTTCTACAACCAAGTTTTTTTTTTCTATTTTCTGGTAAAATAAACCTTTGTGAATAATTTCGAACTGAAAAATTTTTTTTGCCACGACTTGATCTTTTTTTTGGAAAATTGTGGCACATTTGAAAAACTAGTCATTGTTTGTTAGTTGAGAGGCTAATATAAATTTGTTTGCACATATATACATACTGAACCAGCAAAATATGCAGAAGTATAAGTAAAACAAAACGGTGCTAATCTAAGTTTATTTTACAATATTTTGTACACTGTTTAATTAATAACTAAAAAAAAAAAAGTAGACCCCAGAAGAAAGAATGAGTTAAAATTACCTATTTTTTTATTTTAGTGGAGAAAGTCCGAATTTGTTGACTAGTGTTATTTATTATCTTATCGCATGGCATCACCGATTAACAGTCGTAACAAATTATCATTATTTGCAATTTTTCTAGTTTTCATTTTAAATAAGTAATAATAATAAGTTTAAAAATTTTTCACTTTATGAACTTTACGATTTTAGACTTTTTCCATTTTTCAAATATGATTGAATTTTAAAACTGTTTCGTTTATACGAGTTTTCAGTTTTTGATTCTTCATTTTTTCATTCAAATTTTCAATTTTCGATTTTTCGTTTCGGCTTTTTATTTCCTATATTTTTACAGTTTTTCTATTTTTCAATGTTGCGACTTTATAATTTTTGTTTTTTCAGTTTCAATTATTTGTTTATTCCATTTTTTATTTTTTCTCTAATTTTACGATATGCAACTGTTCGAGTTTTCAATTTTTAATTTTTCTGTTTTCCAATTATGTATTTAGTTTTTCGTTTCTTCAATTTTTTCGTTTTTTTTGTTAGGACTGGCTAAAATAAGACTGATTTTGGCAGATGACGTACCCTCTAAGAAAATAGAGGGCGGGTGGGCGGGGCTACTACTTGATAAGTTAAGACTGAACAATATTAAGAGTAGTCCCTGGAATAAAGACGGGTGGGTGGGAGGGGCTACTGCTTGCTTATAAGACTCTTTACAAAAAAGGCAAACTCAGTTCCGCCCACCTTTTTCTCTATTTCATTGTCTTCTTTTTTCTACTGTAAAATGCAATCTAAAATGTAAAACAAAGTAAAAAGTGGCCCCGCCCACCCACCACTATTTCGGTTCGATAATTCATTCTTATTGGCTCTGAAGAACGGAAGTTGGACTTGATATCGATAAATAATTGAATCAAGGATTATACACTTTTCTTATAAAATTTAATTTTTACAAAAATTTTTTTTCGAAAAAAATGTTTCAGTTTTTAGATTTTTAAATTTTTGATTTGTAATTTTCCTAGTTTTCATTTTAAATAAGTAATAATAATAATAATTTTTAAAATATTTCACATTATGAATTTTACGATTCTAGACTTTTTCCATTTTTCAAATATTATTGGATTTTAAAACTTTTTCGTTTATACGACCTTTCAGTTTTTGATTCTTCATTTTGTTATTTCTTCAAACTTTCAATTTGTAATTTTTCGTTTTGGTTTTTTATTTCCTTTATTTTTAGAGTTTATCGGTTTTTCGATGTTGCGACTTCATAATTTTTTTTTTCAATTTCAATTATTCGTTTCTTCAATTTCTTGATTTGCAATTTTTCAAATTTTCAATTTTTTTTCTCTAATTTTACGATATGCAACTGTTCGAATTTTACGACTTTTTAGTTTTTCGTATCTTCAACTTTTCGATTTGCAAATTTTCAATTTTTCTTTTTTTTTTGTTAGGAAAATAGAGGGCGGGTGGGCGGGGCTACTACTTGCGAAGTTAAGACTGAATAATATTAAGAGCAGTCTCTAGAATAAAGAGGGGTGAGTGGGCGGGCTACTGCTTGCTTGTAACACTCTTTAGAAAAAAGGCAATCTTTCTTCTCTATTTTATTGTCTTAATTTTTTTTATTGTTAAATGCAATATAAAATTTAAAACAAAGCCCACCCACCCCCTCTACTTTGTTTTGATCATTCGTTCTTATTGGTTTTGAACAACGGAAGTTGGATTTTATATCGATAAATAATAGAATCTAGGATTACATACTTTTTTGATAAAATTTAATTTTTACTAAATTTTTCTTTCAATTTTTGAGTTGCATTTTTTTCAAGTTTTTATTTTAAATAAGCAATAATAATAATAATTTTTAAAATATTTCACTTTATGAATTTTACGATTTTAGATTTTTTCCAATTTCCAAATATTATCTGATTTTAAAACTTTTTCGTTTATATGACTCTTCAGTTTTTGATTCTTTATTTTTTTCAATTTTTCATTTTTTTTGTTAGTATTTGCTTAAATAAGCCTGATTTTGGCAGATGACCTACCCTCTCAAAAATAGAGTGCGGGTGGGTGGGGTTATTACTTGCTAAGATAAGACGTAAACAATATTAAGGGTAGTTACTGGAATAAAGAGGGGGTAGGTGGGTGGGGCTACCGCTTTCTACAATTTGCAATAACCGGATCACAATGCCGACGGTCCAGACATTTTTAATGCTCAGACTTCCGCTTATTGAATAAAGCACTACATTTAATTTTGATTTTCGAAGTACTAATTCACATTTGGTTAATTATAACTTGTCTAGATCTAGGGGAGGCTCAGAATCACCGGCACAACCTGGTCTATGGGTTATGAAGTATCGGGAAAATATGAAACTACCAAATTGCCTAATGGACTCCATTACTGTACGTCTTTAGCGTATTCTTGATAAGAGAAATAACATGAAAGTGTCTATACTTCGGGAGAATGTCACGTAGAAATTAGTTTAATTTGAATGAGTTCGTCCCCTCAAAACAGAGGATCAAAACTCATTGTTATAATCCTTATAACATAAAGACGTTTGTATTTTCACATTTTAGAGAAAATGGGGTAACTCGTTCTTAATTTGATTAATAAAAAATTGGTCTAAAGAGTTTAGACAGTACTTCCCTCGCTGTCGGAAACTTGACGACTGCATGCCTATTGTGTTTTTTTTCTCATTACATTTTTGTAGTGGGAATTTAAAAAAAAAATGCGATGACGTCATCAACATTTTTGCAAGGACACGTATATCAGTTGGGATAGATGTAGTGTAATACTAAGAATAAAATTATTATATTCTCAAATTTTCGGGAAAATGAATTGGGTCGTTTTGAATATTGATTTGTAATAATCAATAAAATAACGAAACAATTTACTCACGTATACGTATCAGAGGCAACTGAAAATCGTGTATGTATAAACATTCTTAATTTAAGATGACAGGCGTAACAGCATACGTGAGAGTCAAACAGAGAAACTGTAAACAAAACGACCATCGGTTTTATTGCTTCGACTTCCGCTTATTATATAAAACATTGGGTTTTATTTTAATTCTTGACGGTGAAATTCACAATTGGTTGATTATAAACATGTCTATTTCACATTCGCGGAACCAAGTGAACGCATAAAACAAATGCAGGTCTGTAATGTTAAAGTCGATGTAAATAAGCGTGCTACCCTTATGTTTCAACCGAGTTTTTCCTTTAACAAATTTTGTGTCTACCAAATTGGGTTGGTTGGGGTGTAATACTAATAATAAGTGTTGCCTTTAATTTAATCAATAAAATAAATTGACTTCATTAATTTTTTTGAACCACCTCTTAAGAAAATCTAAAAAATATGAATGGAATGATAAATCACAAGTACAAACTCATCATATTTTTTGCATTTTAGATAGGATTTATTCAGCAAAATTTAAGGGTGACGTCATCATTTTTTTTAGGAGGGATGAACAAATACATTTTGAACAAAAGTTTACCATGCTTATAATAACTTTAAAATATTCCCAAGATTTCAAAGCATTCGGTTTTGTAATTCCTGATTAAATCGATAAAATAAATTCACGCCTTCATTAATTTTTTTGAGTCACCCTGCATATGCAAATCCAAAAATATGAATGGAATGATAAATCACAAGTACAGACTCATCATATTTTGTACATTTTAGATACGATTTATTCGGCAAACTTTTGAGCTGACGTCATCAGTTTTTTGTAGAAGATAACCAAATATATTTTGACTAAAAATTTATTATGCTCTTTATAACCTTAAAACATCTGCAAGATTTCAAAGCATTCGGTTTTGTAGTTCCTGATTAAATCAATAAAATAAATTTACGCATTCATTAATTTTTTTGAGTCACCCTGTATATGCAAATCGAAAAAATTTGAATGGAATGATAAATCACAAGAAGAGACTCACCATATTTTGTACATTTTAGATAGGATTTATTCAGCAAAATTTTGTGGTGACGTCATAAATTTTTTAGGGGGGACGACCAAATACGTTTTGATCAAAAATTTACCATGCTTATGATAATTTTAAAATATCTTCAAGATTTCGAAGCATTCGGTTTTGTAGTTCCTGAGTAAATCAGTAAAATAAATTTACGCTTTCATTTATTTTCTTGAATCACCCTGTATATGCAAATCCAAAAAATATGAATGGAGTGATAGATCACAAGTACAGACTGATCATATTTTGTACATTTTAGATATGATTTATTCGGCACATTTTCGAGCTGACGTCATCAAGTTTTTGGAGGGGATAAGCAAATATATTTTGACTAAACATTTATTATGCTCTTTATAACCTTAAAACATGTGCAGGATGTCAGAGCATTCCGTTTTGTAGTTCCTGATTAAATCAATAAAATATATTTACGCATTCATTAATTTTTTTGAGTCACTCTGTATATGCAAATCCAAAAAATATGAATGGAGTGATAAATGACAAGTACAGGCTCATCATATTTTGTACATTTTAGATATGATTTATTCGGCAAATTTTCGAGCTGACGTCATCAAGTTTTTGGAGGGGATAAGCAAATATATTTTGACTAAACATTTATTATGCTCTTTATAGGCTTAAAACATCTGCAACATTTCAAAGCATTCTGGTTAGCAGATTAAAAATTAAATTTCAAAATGTTGTTTTATAATTTTGATTTTTTTTCCAAAAATCTGGACGTTTGGGGTGAAAAGTCGATTCAGAGTTGTAAACTACATGTGTAGGACTATGTTATTTTATACAATTGAAAACCCATTTACTATGTACAATTTTGAAGTGACGTCAACGCATTAGTGGTGGGGATGATTAGACAAATTTTGGTTAGCGTTTTACCATCTACATGATATTCTTAATATAAGTACAAAATTTCACAACAATCGGTCGAGTACTTTCGGAGATTATCTGTCTAATAAAAATCCGGGACGGCAGACGGACAGACAGACGGACGGACAGACGGACAGACAGACGGAAATGGGAGACCTATTTCTTCGTCTTCTAGGGGTCATGAAAGATCGAGAAAACGTAAAAGTAGAGAGTCGGCCGACGGACTCGATTACAATACTTCCTTTGCTTACGCTCGGGAAGTAAAAATATGAATACATTGATGAATCACAAGTAAAAACTCGTCATATTTTGCACAATTTGGTTGGAATTTATTCAGCAAAAACTTGAGATACCGTCATCAATTTTTTGGGGGAATAAAAGATTTATTTTGATTAACAATTTACCATGTTAACAATGACTTTAAAATGTCTGCAAGATTTCAAAGTATTCAGTTTTGTAATTCATGGTAAAACAAGAAAATAAATAGACTTAGTCATTAATTTTTTTGAGACAAGTAAATGCAAAAAATATGGATTGAATGATAAATCACAAATACACACTCACCAAATTTTGGACATTTCAGATAGGATTTATTTGTCAAAATTTTGAGCTGACGTTAAAGTCAGTCTTATCTTAGCAGGTACTAACCCCGCCCACCCACCCTCTCTTGTCTTAGAAGGTATCTCATTTGTCAAAATCAGTCTTATCTTAGCAGGTCTTCAGTCTGTTAACGATGCATTGGAGTTACAATTTGATCTGAACATCAAATACATAGGAAAATTGTTTTTTTTGTACCTCCACCTGGGAGCAGAATCACAAGTAGGACAACTAACAGATCTAAGAATCATCCGATTACAAGAATGATGGCCAGTGCTAACAATTTAGAAACTAATTCATTGATTTTGATATTTAACACGAAACGAATCAACTTTAAATTTTGTGAAAACAATAAACGAACGTGTAAAAACACAGCGATACAAATCAATCAATACACAGATACAGATAAAGTACAAATATAAGTATATCAGTAATTACATACCACCAAACGAGTCATGATTTATATCCCCCAAGTACTGTACTGTGGTTCCGAATTGACCATTGGCGCTTTTCCCCACAATGTGATTTCGTTTAGGATCTTGCAGACGACCCTTCAAAACAATGTTAACAACGAATCTGGCTACAGCTAATCCACGATCCCCGTATACGTGTATTTCCAGCGAATATGCACTACTGTATAGAATTTTAACCCAAATTTGTAAACATCAAAACGTTCGAACGGAGGTCGTGTAAGCTGCCGTATGGTGGATTTTGGTTTCACTTACCGATTTACTACCAAGAAAAATATATATCTTTCCTTCATTGTATTTTTGTGCTGTGTGAAACGGAGCTCCAACTATTAAATCATCCAATCCGTCATTATTTATGTCGCCAGCTGTTATGGCACCGCCAAAATATTCTCCAAATTGTTGACCGTGTTTGGTTTCTTTGACAATAAGTGTTGTTTCTACAGATTTTGCGAATTCGTAAATTAAAATCTATAACACAGATATTAATATTTTGAGAATTATTTTTTTTACAACTCACTTGTCCTTTGTAATCTGATCTGGGGGCGCTAGAAACATACGATAATAGTTTTCTGGAATAGAAATAACCGGACGTGGATGAATAACCTAAAATATTATCATATTATTATTGGTGTGAAGTGATTTTCACTTTTATTACCCAACAAATCGTAGGCAAGAGTTTGCTTGGTTTCAATTGCACTGGCGATATTCTTATAGCTGAATTCACTAGGATCTGCAAATCTTCTGCTTTTTCCAGCATTTTGCAAACGACTAGCAATCGGAGAAGTTTCAACGTTATCTTTGTATAAGATTGTCGTTCCATCCCAGTTGTAAACACCAGGAGCACCCAGAATCATTTCTTTCTCTTTCTAAAAAACCATATAAGAAAAATATTCAAACACAAAAATTAAAACTTACAACTGGCATATGGACCGAAAATCCAGCCTGTCCTTGCGCATAATAGTAAACAGATCCTCCACTTCCAGGATGTGTATAAATGTCCTTGCCTTCAAAAAATGAATAATTATTGTTTTCTACATTAGTTACATAGCGATTCAACGCACCAGGTTCTAACAATGGTAAAAGTTTCTGGGTGCTGTTATCATCGGTATGAAACCAGTAACATGCACCTTGTATATGGTAATCATCTTTTCGGGGATCTCTACTTCTTTGTACTTTTATCCATCTTGGAGCGCAAGTCTGTAAAAATTAACCCGTAAGTAAATTAGCTAATTTTTTAAGTAACAAATACGTACAACAATCCGTTCACTTTCGTAGTTAATATCCATTGATCCACCCAACCATGCATTGTCAATTCTTTCCTCGTAATTTGTACGTGCCGACTGAGATTGAGCTAGACAGATAAACACAAATATTCTTAAATCACTATTAAAAGTTGAGATCAATATGCAAGTTACCATTTATATCAAAAAATTCGCACGTTTCTGCAATTCCACACTTAAAGCAAACACCACTTGTACGTTTGTTAGCATCGATTCCTTTGGGTGCACCAATTAATACCCTTTAATACAACTTATACACTACATATTCTAAGTTATGCTGTTACTCACCAAGGTTTACGACTTCTTTTTCCTGGATATAACACTAGTGAGTAACCAAAATAACTGGATGTGTTTACACTAGGCAACAGATATTTGGAGGGATCTTCGTAGACAATTGGGTAATTTGTATCAATATTAAAGGAATAGCAACAATTAACAAACACAAAAATATGTAAAAAAATTAAGGAAAGCATGGTGCTTCTTTTTCTTGCCTTACTAAAAATGATCACATACTTAGGTTTTTGAACGATAAGGTACACGCAACATCCTGTGTTAGCCGAAGTTGGCAGGATATGAATTATCGTATGCTTACCTTATATGTATTAGCTCTGAGTAAACGGTTTTCCATGCACGAACACGTTCGCTTATCAGAGATACACAACTATGCGTAATTTATTTATATTTAAAAATTATTGAAGGGCAAACTTTGTTTGTTTAAGATGAAAATAAATAACAGAAATCACAAAAAGTGTAGATATTCAAGTCAATAAAAAAAATTGGTCGAAGATTACTTACAGCTTTTCAAATCCGACTCTTTCGAAAAATTAAAAGATTTGATTTTGCGAATTTTATTGTTTTTATGGCTACAATTATAAGCTACAATAAAAATATATATCTAATGTTTGAATAAAGGTAAAAAACCGTGCTAACCGTGTTTTATAAGTGAGTTTTTCTATTACAATATATTTATTTGTCAACATCAAAAATGCTGATACGAAATTTTAGGCTTTTTGAAAACACCCCTAAAAAGTACTAAAAACTGTTCCTGAAACTTCTTCAGTCCAGTCTTGTAAATTTAATTCATTGTTTGTAAATTCACAGTTCATGTTAGGATTTTAATCGTTAACTGGTCCTAACACTATGTAACAGATAGAGGAGATTTCATGAAATTCACTTAGTCAAGATTTTGTTTGTCTAATTATGAATAAGTTCTGGATGCTAATACGTAAGTGTTACAATGAAACATTTCTTAATTCTTCACAGAAAATTGCTAATAGTTCCAAGCTCTGCAGTTCTAACCCCACGTAATATTTTTATTTGCCCAAGTTTATTTCACACCAGGACGTGTCCAGGATGCTGCCGATGGAGGTCTAGGAAGACGAACTGCTCGAAGGGCTTCATATCTGGCTAGGTGTAGCCGGAGATGGCTCGTGTGACAGGGTCGCACACTACGACCAGGAGTTTCGTGGAGGGATTCATGTGCTGCACCCAAATTGACCAATTTGTGCATTTATTCCGTTTAATTTGTCCTACAATAATCGCTACACTAGATAAAATCATAAATCATTCGAGTTGTTCAGTGATTTCTGAGTGAGAATCGAGGAATAAATTTTAAATTCACTTTCATATTTTCTAAGATAGGACTGATTTTGGCAAATGACTTACCCTCTAAGAACAGAAAAGTGTTCAGGTATGCCATCATAAAATTTTAAATTGGTTGCCAATCTGTTAAAAAACCTAACAAACTAAAAATAATTAATTAATAATCGAAACATCAAAGAATGGAAACATCAAAAACCTAAAAAATCTAAAATTTAGATGTTCGAAAAATTAAAAAATAGAAATATTGAGGGACTGAAAAATCGAGAAATCGAAAAATCTAAAATTAAAATATTGAAAAATTGACAACTGAAAAATAGAAAAATGGAAACGGAAACATCAAAAAATCGAAAAAACTGTAAAATTGTGGAGTCTTCAGTTAAAAAAAAAATGAAAAATCGAGAAAATAAAAATCAAAAAATTGAAAAATCGAGAGGCGAACTTAAAAAACCCTAAAAATAAAATATCGAACAATTGAAAAATCGAGGAATCGAAACATCGAAAAAACGAAAAATTGAAAAATCCAAATAAAAGAAAAGAAAAAACTAGATAGTAAAAATCGATAAATCAAAATATTGAAAAAAAAATTGGTCGAAAGTTGTTTCAACAGAACTTCCCTCGCATCTCCACAATAACATGATTACAATTGAGATGGTGGTGGGTGGGCGGAACTTAAATTTTGCCTTTTTCCTGGATATACGTAACAATCTTTTCACGACAATACATACATATTTAAAATGGTAAATTTTTGTGATGATGAATTTTCCATTCGTTGCCAAACTGAGGGGCGGAGCGTAATTACAAAATCCAAATTTCCTATTTTAAACACTTTTTAAGTTTTCTGTTGCGATTACGAACAAGAAAAAAAAGCAAAATATTTTGGCTTAAATGTAGACTTCTTTTCGCGAATTTTTAATTTATTATTAATAAATATTAGAGGAAATGTGTTGTGTTGGTGCTGTGAACACGAATGAAAATGGATATTTTTCCGAAAAGAACCGAAAACAGGGTAAGTACGATTTCAGTTTTAATTTATCGGGTTGCATGATTCGTTTACTCGACAAAGTTTAAATTTTGGGGAAATTTTCGAAACGATTGAAGTTGGTCAAACAAAGCTATAAATTTTCACGATATAATTAAATAATATTTAAACATAATTAATATTATTTATTATGTGTAAATACGATAAGTATTAATGTATGATGATTAAATCGAACACCGTTTTCTTAAAAACGCGAAGTGAATTTGATGATGTCATTTCACTGAATGGTATTTTAAAATGATTTGAATGTTACACAAAATTATACTCATATACTTGTAGTGTGCGAATCCACTTTCAGTTTTTTCGCTAAACGTTAAATTTTTTTTAATCTTTAGATTTTCCAATTTTTGCAGTTTCCCGAATTTACTACTTTTTTCAATTTTTCATTTTTCTTATTTTTCCTATTTCTTCATTTTATAGATTTTGTAATTCCTCGATTTAAAATTTCCTCTTTTTATTTTTTAATTTTTTCATTTTTCGATTCTTTAATTATTCATTTCTTCAAATCTTCGATTTGTAACTTTCCGTTTGATTTATTTATTTTCTTTATTTTTCCAATTTTTCGGTTTTTCAAAGTTCTGATTTTATAATTTTTCTTTTGTCAATGTGAAATTTCTGCAGTTTTTGGATTTTTCAATGTATCGATCTGTAATTTTTCGATTTTCAACTCTTGGATTTTTGAATTATTAATTTCTTCAATTTAAAATTTTTCTAGTTCCATTTTCTTTCAATTTTTCATTTCTTCAGATTTTCGGTTTGCAACTTCTCAAGTTTAAATTTTTCAGTTGTTCAATTTTCCAACTTTTGAATTCTTGGATTTTTCCGTACTGAATTTTTCCAGTTTTCAATTTTAATTTTTCAATGTTTCGATTTGTAATTTTTTGTTTTTTCAATTTTTAATTTTTTTTCTTTCGCTTTGCAATTTTTCGTTTTGTTTTTTATTTTCTTTGTTTTTTCAATATTTCGACTCCAAGAGTCCGCAAGGACAGTTATTATTTCACTTGAAATGTATAACTAGTTAATAAAAAAATATTTAGATTTATAATTTTTTGTTTTTTCAATTGTTAAATTTTTTTACTTCTTCAATTTTTAGGCTTTGCAATTTTTCGATTTGTAATTTTTCGTTTCGGTTTTTCTTAATTTTCCATGTTTTCGTTATTTTTTCAATTTTTCAGTTTTTCAATTTTTCGATCTGCAATTTTTCGATTTTTCAACCATTCGATTTTTGAATTTATTATTTTTTCTATATTTTTGAATTTAGATTTTTCCAGTTTCATGTTCTTTCAATTTTCAGTTTTCTCAATTTTTCGGTTTGCATTTTCCAGTTTTTTTTTTGTTTCTTCATATTTTCGATTTGCAATTTTTCGAGTTCTCAAGTTAAAATTTTTTAGTTTTTCAATTTTCCAACTTTTGGATTTTTCAATTTTTAGATTTTGCATTAAGTTTCCTGAGTTTTTGACTTTAATTTTTTAAGTTTTGGATTGGCAATTTTTCGTTTTGGTTTTTTCTTTATTTTTTCAATAATTCGATTTTTCAATGTTCCGATTTGTAACTTTTTATTTTTTCAATTCTTCATTTTTCTTATTTCTTCAATTTTTAGATTTTGCATGTCTTCGATTTAAAATTTTCCGAGTTTTCAATTTTTTCATTCTTTAATTTCTCTTTTCTCCGAATTTTTCGTTTCGATCTTTTATTTTCTTTATTTTTTCAATTTTTCGGTTCTTGAATTTTTTCATTTTATAATTTTTTCAGTTTTTGGATATTCAATTTTTCGATCTGCAATTTTTAATTTTTAAACTGTTACAATTTTTATTTTACATTTTTTCAATTTCAGATTTTTCCAGAGTCATATTCTTTCAATTTCTCATTTTGCAATTTTTTAGTTTTTCATTTTTTTTTTCTTCAGATTTTCGATTTACAATTTTTCGAGTTTTCAAGTTTAAATTTTTAATTTCTTCAAATTTTCGACTTGTTATTTTATTTTAAACTAAAAACAAAGCAATTTGTTCCAATATTATTAAATTAACCCCGAAAATGTGCAATTTTCCGGCCAAAATATGAAAAATAATGTTTGCAATCTCATCGTGACGTACGATGACCTCACTGTGACATGAGCACCTGAGCAACGGTCATATTTTTCAGCCCCTTGTGTTCAGTTTAGACTTCGGTTTGATTGCAGCAACATCGGAACTTCGGTCTGGCTTAAAAGTTGGGCTCTTTTCGCAAATTTATTATTTATTATTAATAAATATTAGTGAAAATTTGTTGTGTTGGTGCTGTGAACACGAATGAAAATGGATATTTTTCCGAAAAGAACTGAAAACGGGGTAAGTAAGTACGACTTCAGTTTTAATTTATCAAGTTCCATGATTCGTTTACTCGACAATGTTTAAATTTTGGACAAAATTTCGAAACGGTTGAAGTTGATCGATCGAAGCTATACATTTTCACGATATAATTGAAATAAAATTTAGACATAATTAACATTATTTATAATGTTCAAATATGCTAAGTAACTATTAATATATGATAATCAAACCGAAAACGGTTTTACTAAAAACACGATGGTATTAAAAATAAAGCAATTTGTTTAAATATTGTTAAGTTAATCATGAAAATGTCTAATTTCCCGGCCAAAATATGAAAAATAATATTTGCAATCTCATCGTGACGTGCGATGACGTCACTGTCACGTGAGCTACCTGTCCAAAGGTCACGTTTTTCGGTCCTTTGTGTTCAGTTTTAATTTCTGTTTGATGGCGACAAGATCGTCGCGTCCTTTTGGCGTAAAAGTAGAGCAATTTCGCGAATTTCTAATTTATTATGAATAAATATTAGGGAAAATGTGTTGTGTTATTGTTGTGAACACGGAAGAAAATGGATATTTTTCCGAAAAGAACCGAAAACAGGGTAAGTACGACTTCAGTTTTAATTTATCAGGTTCTGTGATTCGTTTCCTCGACAAAG